CTTAGAAAATGACTTCTCTCGCTTCCCGCATACAGAATATAATAATCCGCGTCCATTTGTACCGAGTGTACACTGTGCGTGACGTGTATATCAGATACAATCCTTATCAACATCTGGGGGCGTCGATACTATGAAATAAGCAACCCAATACGAAATATGTAATATTAAACGGCATTATTTGCAATTATCATTGTGATTTTTAATGTTCCGTGAAGTCGATGCATGATTACCGGAAGTCAAACAATGAAGATGTAACCATAGTTTATGAACATGAGAAAAAAGAGACGGCAATGGAGCTTTCATACCGACTTCCAAATGGCAACAGTACATATTCAGTAGCTCAATGACAGTGAAACACAAATAGCTCATTCACTCCGAACCAGGTGCCAAGGAACACCCCCCCCCCCCCCCCCCAAAAAAAAAGACCTATTCCACTCTTTCATTGAAAACTGTAGTGCATAATCTTCTCTTTACTTTTCACAATGGATTGTACCTGGACATTTACATACCCCATCAATTAAAAAGGTGAAGCCATCCCTTGTGATTATGCACTATGCCATGAAAACACGGGGGGGGGGGAGCATTGCACACACCCCAGCCATTTTATCCCCAAGAAAAGAACCCCTGTACCCACTGGGCTCCAAAGCCTGTCTGGAAGTTGCAGCTAAGATAGAAATCCTGCCCTACGAGAAATCAAAACCCTATTCTCCAGCCTATATGCCACTCACTCATCACTGTCATTGCCTGAGAAAAATAGCTTCACAATGATTTCTTCCACGTTGAGATCCATGCCTAACAGTGGGACAGATGCTTGAACATCTGTGATGTGCACCAGAAAACAGGCCTCATAGTTGCTTCTTGTCTGCCTGTCACATGACAATCAGATAACTACCTACTGAACTGGTGTTAGCAAAGAACTAATGAGGATTTCAGTCAATTAGCTACTTACCATTAATTAATAAAGCACTTACCACATTTCAATTATTAGAACAACCAGCTTGGTCAGGCTACCCCAGCCACACAAGTTTAAGGAAAATCAAAAAGTCCTTGGTCATTAGGTTTCAAATTAGCAATAGGATGATAACCTCCCCTTGTAAAAAAAATACTTTCCATGCCAAAAGTGTACATATGTAGTATAAACTTCTCACTCATGATCTGAGTAATAACTGCATGCAGTATGGAATATTTTCTTAACTTAAAAGTACCTCTACTGAAACACAAAAATATTTAAGTTACTTGCGATTCTATTATAAACAGATTTGTAATGTGTAACTGAAAACTTATATGAAAGGTCAGAGGATTAGCATAAATGAGAAATAAAACAATCTATTATCAGATATTTGATTAGCGCTAGACAATTAATATAGATATTATGAATTTACAAAAAAAAACCAGTGAGATGTAAATTGGTTGAATGAACAAAGGGCTTCAAACAGTAGACAAAAACTTTTATATAAATTAATAAGATAATTAATAAATTAGTAGCATTTTCAATTAACTAACATGAAGTTCCAATAAAGTGTTGCAGCCTTGAAGTTGATAAAGGGTGAAAGTGGCCCTAGGTCTGGAAAATGTTGAGAACCCCTTCTCAAAACAATGTATACCCACTTCATTGAATACATGGTCTAAACTACAGCACAAAATAATTTTATAAACACAATATGGTATGATATAATAGAATGTTGTTACTCAGCTACCATTCTGGGTTAATATGAATATGCAAAAGTTCTAAACAGTGGCTGACATAGATAAAAATTACTACCAGAACTTACACATTACAAAATTGTGATAAAAGAAAAATGAGGACTTATGGAAAACAGCTCAGGTTAACAGAGAAATATTTTGGAAGTGTAAAGAACTCACTGAATGCCTAAAAGTAACTAGATGACCATACCAAAACTGTGAGATACCGATTAACTGGTATCACTCCATCTGTATAACCCATGTATACATAATTTGACAGCATGGACAGATGGATTTATATTATTTATGTAATAAATTTATAACAGAGTGGTTCATTCCTATAAGGCATCATAACTGACTATTCACAGTGGCAGTCTATATTAACATGACTTGCTACACATCAGCTAATTACTGCATTATGCATATGCTTAAGTGTTGAAAAACTACTCCTCTGTACATCATACAACTTCTGTAATTTATAAGGTAGAATTATGAACAAATTAAATTTGAAAGTTTCATCAAACCTAACATCCCAAAAGTTTATAAATATGCAGGAACCTGTATGTTCAAGAGAGTTCAGAATTAAAATTTTTACATCAGGAATTATTTTCTGGGAATACATTTTCATATACAAATAGTAACAACAGAATAAAAATTAATTATTAAAAACCTAGGCTGTAAAGTAATGGCAGAATTTTGCTTCAAACATGTCCAATTCAAACCCTTCCCATCTGGTATTTCCAACCTTGTGTGGTGACTCAGTGTTACAGTGGGCTGGTTTGCCATTGTTTCATAGAAGCTCTCGGTCTCCATCTCCTACATGAAGTGACTACAAAGCAACTTAGTACTGAAATTTATATTTCCAGTTCAAAGGTGATGGGGAATGTGGCCAACTTGAGGGATGTCATAAAATAGACAAGATAGAGAAACTATCATTTTATTAAAAGTGAGAAGGGTCTGCTGATTCAGTATTTTCATGGTATTCCCTCACAGTATTGTGTTCCAGGCAGGATTATGCTGATAACATCCTTCCCAACTGAAATCACAGTGAGGAACAATCCTGAAAACCTTTCAAATGATTTTGCTGAAGCAGTGGTCGTATCATCATGTGTACAGTGACCCTGATTGATCACATGCTCAGCCACAGCTCGATGCTCTGGATGTTTCTAACAAAAGTGTCTATCCAACACAGACAGCTTCACATTAACATGAAATCCTACGCACTTCTGGAAGTTCCAACCACTAATTATCCTTGCCAAGTCAAAAATTCTGTTTGAGGAAGAGTGGTAAAACTGTATTGATGGGGCTTTAAAAGCCTCATATGTAAAGCAAATAATACAAATAGATAAAAAAAAGCTAGGAATTTCTTTACTAGGGATTACTAGCTTCCAAAGACTGGTTAGTACAATAGCAGTACAGTACCAAAATCATGTACACAGCAATAACATGTATAATCTCCAAAATACATATTCTTTAATGAAGTTCCAAACCATAATTAGTGGCAAAGTGTTATTTATTTACTTGAATCCTAACTTTCCATATTAACATGACCTGCATATGCAATCAATTATGTATCTACATTTACATCAAAGTGTGCACTGCTTCTATTACATTTATGACATGTCCTACATCCTTGGCATATATAATTTATATGCTTAGAGTCATAAGTAGTTGGACTGAACAAGTTGGGTTGAATCAATATTTTAAAGGGTGTTGGAGACAGGAAGCATCTGCTCGTTGGGCAGACTCTCTTGTCGTTGAGTACAACATCAGTAATTTACGTGGCCATACCACCATACACTGGACAACCCGAGCACAAAACAGAGAGGAATTGAGGAGATGCTGGAGCCTGTGTGCGAGCTGAAGTATGGGTCATTTAAGTGCTAAGTTGGACATCTGTCCATCCATGTTGCATTATCCAGTTTTATGAATATGGAATGTTTCCAGATGACAATGAAACGTTTCTGCCAAGCTAAAATACAAAATAAATTTAGCCTGCACGGACCAGGATGTATCTTGTGCATGTCACAGGTCTAATGGTCACAAAAATGGCTATCAAGAAATCTTCCAAGAAATTTTACATTACCACATCAAAAATCTGGGTCAAGCCGATTAGCCTACACAAATAAATTTATTTTTCCAGCAAAAGATATCCAATGGTAGGAAGTTTCTGTATAATTATTCATAAATAACTATCGAATTGACTGGAGAAACGGGTTTATATGTCTTATGCCGTACACATCAATACATTACAAGCAGAATTACAACGTCTAACAAATTTACAAACGCCAATTATACTTTTTTATTTTAGAAATAGATATTATACTCCGTACATATTTCCGGACTGTTGACGAAACAGGAGTGGCTGCAATAAACGTGAAAAGAAAATCTGTAAGCGACACTCGCAGTATTTTTATAAAAAAACAATAAAACACACGGAATAAATACTAAAGGAAGTACGTATACCTCAATTTGGAAATATCAAAAAGAATGGTCATTCCTATCCGGTTATACGCAAGTGCTGATGGCAAGAAAACCATGTCTGTTGCCAACTGTCACGTACCTACATATCCTATAAATAAGTATAAATTATTTCGTAAAATATGTTTTCAAACTTCTTACAAAAATTATCGCACTAAATGTTCAGAAATGATACCGTTCACACCCCACATAGAAAACATCTAAATACATTCCCATATAAAAAAATTTCGATTGCGGTATTCATACAACGTCAAGGGGCGTCTGACCGACTTTCATTTACCTGTAGATGCTCTTGAAAACGTATAGGTAACATCTGAGACATGTTGGTTAATGTTGCACTAACTTCAACATGAAATGTTTCTCTGCACCGACTTCAGATAAATCAAAACGTTTCTAATACACCACTCAACTTCACATTTGCAACTGAGAATACCATTCACTGCCTACAAACATGGCTTCCCACCACCTACTTAATGTAGTTCTTGAAATGTATTCCTACGCACAACCACTTCACTTTCATACAATATTATAAAAATAGTTTTTACGTAATTACAGAATACAAACATAGAATAACTCCGTGCTGTTATCTTTGTTACATTCAGTCCTGATAATATTAAAGTGCGAAATCTACATTTCTACAGCGGAAGGATATTGATGACGTCACCTGCCACATGAACAACCTGCGCATCATGATAGGCATTTATTGACGTTCGGGTTGACTTTGATTTGTTCTCTGAACCCAGCAGTTATTTGTAAAATTTACCCCCACATTTTAAAACCAGTAGTTCGATTTACTTAATTCAAAATATGGAGTTTACTGTGCGTGCAACTGAACTGAAAATATTATGAGACGAGGTCTGCTTGGCAATTTTAATGCAATCTTACATCATATTTTCCAATGGTGAAAACCACCTAATTAAGTGAAAAAATAATACTCACAAACTGTTGTGGGTACGTAACTATACCGATCATGCATCATAGTTTAAACACAGCCCAATAGCTTAGATCACAGTAGTGACACCAATAAATCCTTACCTCAGACATCAATTCTCTACAATTCATGTTTGATATAATCCCAACCACATACTTCCAAGAAAGGAAACAAAGGAAAAAAGTCACAGATCAAAACTTATTATTTATTGGTAATGTTACATTGTGATTTCATTATGAACAGCTCATATACAATTCACAGACAGTCTTCTCATGATGAAACACTGCAGTCAACTGGAAAATAAACCATCAGATACTTAAAACATGCAAGTATTATACACACTGCACAAAACAATATCTAAAAACTGTGTTGTCAGCTTCAAAAATTCATCAGTTTGTATCAGTCGAAAGATGGTGATAATGTATTAACTCATCATTTCAACACAGAAAACAACTTACACTCCAAACAAACTTTGTTTGAATATAAACTATACTCCAACATCCACCTTGTCTTAGGTGACCATAATAAGAGCCACTGAAGCCAGTATATCATCACTATTAAATAACGAGAATGTTCTGTAATGATTTTATGATGAACTTATAATAAAAGTGAATGTAATAACAAACTGCATTAATCTTGTCGGTTTCGATTTTTTACTTCCAAATCTCCCCACCCTTACGTGCCAAAACCATCATATAACTGTACCTACATTAACTTCTAAGCATTAAAAATATGGGACATAAATGCACCCAAAAAATAAAATTAGATATGTAACTTAAGACAGATATAGCATAAACATACAAATAAAAATATGCTGTACTTTAATCGAAGAGACCAAAGCCCATGTCATCATCTTCAGATTCGGATTCTTCCTTCTTTTCAGCTTTCTTCTCCTCTGGAAAGGAAACAATTTAGCGATCAGAATACAAGTTAAAGTAGGCATGTGGCAATTTTACAATATGAATCGTACAATCAGAAAAAGAAGTATCATCAACACGTCAGTCGAAAGATGGTGATCTGAGAATTCATCACATTGCACGGATTTAACAATGTTATAACTAAATACCCATGTACTCTCTTATTTAAAACTTTGTTTGGCAAATCTTGTGGGACAAGACCAATTGGAGACCAGGATGTATACATCTCTGGGTACTAACCCTTTTCAGGAGCCGCAGTAACTGCTGCAGCAGGAGCAGCAGCCCCACCTCCAGCAGCGGGAGCTGCAGCACCTCCCCCTGCAGGCACAGTTGCCAGTTTATCACGACCTGAATTGAAACAGAGACTTTGTTTCTTGAATGTTATAACAAATATGACACATACACATCATCCTAATCAATTACGGTATACACTGTTACACTCACATCTGTAGATGGCCAACATCTGAGATGCAGCACCATAATCACTCACGAAGACAGCACTAAGCTTCTCTGAAATGTTAGTTAATATCTACCAAACTACATGGTGCAACATTCCAGAAGATACCCATTTTAACACTCTTCAACACAAAAACCTAAAATCTCACTTCAACATTTTTAGTGGATTATGAAAACATCAAATATAATCACATCAGCATGCGGCAACCTAAATAAATAGCTGACATCTGTACCTTACAACTAATGATGACATAAAAATGTTAACCTAGATCAAGAAAAGTACTTGTCACATAACTATCAATCAGTGTTGGATCACAAAATATAAATAATACATAATAATGAATGTACATAAATTATAACACAACAGGGGCCATAATAAAAAAAAAATCAGGGACAGCAACTGCAACTATAAACCTTTTAATAAACAAACAAAAACATGGCCTTTAACAGAATCTTGTTAAACACAATATCATGTAGGTTTGTATGTTTGAGGCCAAATAAACATCAGCAGAATCTATATTCAACATCAGCAGTCACTTGCCTACTTTGGAACATTTGATTCATTCTGAGTCTCCTTAATCCCTAAAAATTCTGCTGAAATAGTTAATTTCATTATCTCGTCAACTACTAAAGAGCCGGGATAGCTCAATCTGGAAGACCGAGGTTCAATCCCCGACAGGGGTAATTTTCCCTCTAGCCTCTCTGTCCAGACCGGCTCTGGAGCCCACCCAACCTCCTATCCAGTGGGTACCAGGGTCCTTTCCCAGGGGTAAAGCATGGCTGGGGCATGATGCTGACCACTCACCCCCATCTAGTGCCGAGGTCAAGCAAGAGTAGGAGCTATACCTCCACTCCCCCTGAAGGACCTACATGGTGTGTAGCAGGATTGCTTTAGTTACTCATCAAATACTAGTGCTTCCAGCTGTAGAACTGTACAAGACAAACTACATATTATGGAGTTTTGATTTGTCTGGATTAAAATAACTTTGCAGCGGAAAATATTTAAATTATATTATTAAACTATAAAAATTATACTATCAGAGGTGTGTTCTTTGTACTAACATAACACTAGCTTTTGAAAATGTAATTACCAGCAGCAATTAGTTCTTCAATGTTCTTTCCATTCAGTTCACCGATGACTTTTTTCAATTTCTCTCCATCTGCTTCAATGCCAACAGAACTAAGAATCTTCTCGATATCTGCAGAATTTGGTGATTCTTTGCCGCCAATGGTGGCAAGCAAGTAAGCGGCCACGTAACGCATTCTGCAAACAAAGGGTTTATGAAATATATTAATCATCACAATTGGACAAACTCATTACATATTCGGTCGGATACTCCGAACGCTTATCATTAAAAAAGTCGTACGCGTTCACGATTTATGGAACACTTCGAAGTTAAGAACATAAAACTGTGTGCTGAAATGTACGGAGGTCACACATAAACCACCCACATTGTGAAGAAAACATTAATAACGGTCGATACCCCATGATGAAGCTACATTTTAAGCTTTTTACATACTACATTTTACGAATATAAAAATTAATAGACGTTAAAAAATGAAGAAAGTTACCTTTAAGTCCAAACGACACGAAACGTGTTTACACACTTGCTTTCTTACTCTGGAAGAAAGCGGAAGTTGAAAATGAATACGGGGTATACCGGGGTACATTGACGAACACGCAAATCAAATACAGGTTTAAACTGAACATTCATGAAAGAGAGTTTTCCCTAAAATGAGAAATTTTTAAGAATTCATAAAAAATGTGGGAAATTTATATCTAGTTTCAGAGCCTAAGAATAGGCATACAAAAACAGGAGTTAATTAAACAAAAAATGAAATTAACCCCACAATTTCTAAAGACAACTCCCCCTGCTACTAAATGTTACAGAACCTGTTCATGCTTCAGAGATGTCATATTGAGCTATACATGTGCACTATAGTTTAAGTGTTATATTTACAGAAACGACGACACTGTACATGATACCAATAATCATTGTTCAGACTATCAAATGAGATGACCACAGGTCTTTGTTATAGAGACAATTGATTTCAATCTGAATTTTTCGTCATGTGAATGAAGTCCACGATTCTACAAGCTATTTGTAATGTTGTTTAGTAATTTAAACATTTTGTTAATATTAAACCATCAAGAGAAGTAAATTACTACCAAGTTGGCAAACGTGAGCAATACATATCTTGTGCTATATCCACAGGTGTTAAATCCGAAAGTAAAGGCAAGACCTGACCTACATAAAATTTAGGAAATGAAAATTTTTTGACACGAGGTGAATTCAATGACGATGTTATAGGAGATTGTGACTCATCACTATTGGCGTAGATTGCACGTTGATACGAAATGCAAATTAAGAGATGGCGGATAGGTTAACCCAATTACAAGATACAATTAATCAGGTAGATACAATTATTATTTTGTTCACTTTCTTTCTTGAAAGAAAATTTAGATTTTTGGAAACTGTGACCACATCTTTTGCCAATTATGCTTTACTTACGAAGCTGTGTTTACGCAACGTAATTTTAAGGTTAAGTTTGTTATTTTCGTATTTTCCAGCAAGCTGACCACTTTTGTAATAGTATAGGTATTTTGCAACAGTATTCAGCACCAGCTAAATTATCAGGACCTGATCGTAATGTCCCACTAACTCCACAGCAGCAACAGCAAGAAGGTTTGTTATTTCCGTGTTTAGTGTTGTTTTGCTTCAACTTAAGAGTCAAGAACTGCCGATGTGATAATTTCTTATTAATTTCAGAGTATGCTCTCCTGTTTGCAACGCTAATTGTAAGATGTGCAAAAGATATTGATGTACTAATTGAATCTCTACCCAGTGAAGACTCTTCCACTGAACTTCAGGTATGGGTATAAATATTTCAGATACACCTTGGATTTCCCAATGTTAAGTTTACCAAAGTAGACATTAAGGATTACTGTGGCATAAAAAACTAGCTTGTAGTGTGGTGTAGTACTTGAACACTATCATGCACTTTAACTTTATTTATTACATAGAAGGGTATTGTGAATATGTAAAAACAGTCATGGACAGTGTTAGTGAAAAGTGTATGCTGTAAGGCTGCTGTGAAACATTTACTAAGAACTCTCATGAGGTTGATGCACAATTACCATTCTATTTTGTACCTTGATTTATGCACTAGAGTAAAGGTAATTATTTTGAAACATGCATAGAATTCTTGGCCATTTTTCTCATATCAGTGTCCTGCCAAACTATTAACTCTCACTCTACATCCATACTTTTGGCAGATGATAATATTACTGTTTCACATCCCAAAACTCACTATTTCCAGATTTTCATGAACAAGTGGATTAAAGCCAATAACTCCCATTAAATTTTGTACGGCCAACAAAAATTATGTTAATGTAGGTATAGTGTATGAGGATAAAAAAATTGAAGTAGAAACAACTTAATTTCTTGGCCTACAAACTGACAATAACTTAAATTTTAAAAAATTTAATACATTATCCCTAAATGAAGCTCAGCATAAAATCCATGGGGGAGGGGAGTAAATTTTAATGTGGATTCTATTTTTGGGTGCTGTAATTGTGTACATGTATGCTATTAATATGTTGATGGCATTTTGGAGTTCCTTCTTGCCCCAGAATTCAAGGTGAAGTGACTGCCAGGTGCACTGAATGGTAACACACAAAGTACTTTTGATAGGCCAGGGGTTCTGTACTGGCAGGGACCAATGCACAGTCAAGATTTCTCTGAAGTGCCAGCAGTATGACATATACACATAGTCATCACCCAGAAACAGGATCCATAATAGCAACTCAACTGCTGCAGAAGTCTTTGTTGAAAATTCTGTTAACGTAAATTTGGGTGTTCACTGTATTTATTTATGTAGTTATGTGGGATGTACAATAGATAGGATATGAGGTTCTCAAAGTGGTGAGTACAAAATGGCTGTCTTCTGGGTTGTAGTTTCATGTAGTCTGATGATCACCCAGATGATGGAGGCAGTGAGGACCTCTGCAATACAGGTAAACGTCTACCAGACTACACAGTGCTAGAACTCAGAAGACAGCCATCTTGGTATATAATGTTTGTCAAAAACGATAGGAACTTGAACCTGAATAAAAGGGCTTAATATATAATTACCACTGAAAGGAGTTAATATGGAATGCTTTTTACCAGGTGGCAAGTCTCAGAAGATTGGAGCAAGACAACAAAGACGCAGGAGAACAATTGGAAGAAGTTGTAAGACGAGGAGAAGCTCTCTTGGAACAAATTCAAGCAGCACTTGCTGATATTGCTCAGAGCCAACTTGACATGCAGCATCTTCAAACTGAAAATACTAACAAACAAACTAATGCAAACATCCCTGCATGAATGTCATTGCTCTGTGGACCAAATTTTCAAGTATCATTCCAGGTTACTGGGATCGGTTAAAATGTTATCGCACAACAGTATGATAAAACCTACAGCCTGTAAACGTAATAAAGTTAATGTTTAATCTGAGATACTTATTCTGAAACCACTCAACTACCAACTGGGATGTGTACAAATATTATGATGTGTAATTTGGTTTTTGTTCTTGAACATTAGATTTGAGATGCAATTCAGTGGTATCAAAGTTGTGTAGTTATAGTACCTCATAGGGCTGAGCTGTCAGTATTATCTTTTAAGATTATAATACTTCTGGGAAGAGCTGGTTTATAAAGCTGCAGTAATTAGAATCAAAACATGAAAACTATATATTGATTTTCAGCATTGTTTGAGAATAAAAACATGCCATATTATGTGTTAATTTGATTAGAAAATATTCTTTCATCCACATGGCTATGTTTATATGTTATATATACTACAAATATTTATTAAAAAACATTTATCTGATATACTTCCCAGTATGTTGAGACCACAAACGAAACTGTTTGTGATCTTGTTGATACAAACAATTGACAAGATTCACGTAAGTCATCCAACTTGTGATGCCTATAAAAATATTAAACTAGGACACAGAAAAACAAAATAATATGTGCAAAAATTACTATCATTTGGAAAAAAGAGACTGGGCATTTTACTCTTTGCATTCTTAACTGTACATTGGGACATTCTATGTACTGCAATAATGTACCAAGCGTTAGCTAGCAGGTTTAAAATCCATACTGTACTTCAGTGCGCTAAGTAAAGTGTCCATCCTTCAGCTAGACTGATGATGTTACCTAGCACATGTTGGTTTTTACACTCACACATCCTCTCACTGTACACATGACACAAGTACATTAAGTATTGGCTAGGTAGCAGTAATGTCAGTTCAACCTAGTTAAAAAATTAGACCACAATAATATTAGTAGACTCTGTCTTTATACTCACACTGTAAATGTTTGCTAAATCTGTCTGAACACAAAGCATCAATACCAGGATCACGGGAATGCACATTCAGAATCTATGTAATGTACCACTGATCCAAAATTGACACACTCAACAGCACATTTATACTCAATTTGTATACACCATGTCTAAATCAAGCAGAACTTTTTTTTTCTTCCAAAAATTATAAATCTCCTATACCATTATTTCTAGTTAAGCGTTCCTCGGCACTGTGCATTACCACACAAGCACGGAATCTTCTCATCCTCAATGGGAAACTTGTAGTCATATGTTATCTCTTCATTAACACTTATTTGCTGCTTGGAGTAAATCACTATTTTCTTCTGACCTTCAATTGTGATAATTTTGGCATAACAATTGGGCTGAAAAGTAAATAACAATATTTCAGTGTACAAAATTAATTCAAATGTTACGTGCACTGACTGGAAGGTATGAGTGTAGACTCAGCATTACTGTGGTGTCTCACACTACTAAGTTAATGTTGAAGATTTCAATAACAAGAATACCCATAGCACGAACTCCAACAATTAAAGAATGGCTGGTAGCAAATGAACGAGAAATAGGGAAATATGCCTATTAAAGAGACTCTTCTGTTTGTAATTTTCACCTCCTAAAACTAGAGCACAGTTTAAACTGGAATATTTTTTTGTGTGTCTATCATGGTTAATTATGGAGTGTTGCATTATGGTTCTTCAACACAGAAAAACAATGCAAATATTTCAGTAACAATAAATATATAAGGAATTGTTTTAAAGAAGAATAGATGAATGAAACATCATGAAATGTCATCATCAGTGTCTTGGCAGTGGAGTTGGTTGCTGCTGGAATAGGTAGCAGCAGAGGGCATGTATAGGTAAGTTTTTAATGACTTAGCTTTAGTAGTAGCCAGTGAGAGCAGGCAATGATCAATGCAGGAAAAGTAACTCTCCACCAGAAAAGAGTTAGGGATGTGCTAAAGATAATCAACATTCACACTCTGCATTCTGAAAAAAATCTCTCAGCTGAATGAATGTGAGAGGTAGTCCAGGGGTTTGTCACAGATGATGATAATGTTATTTCTAATGCAATTCAATCGCTTTACATATGATAAGGCAACCTCTTTTTAATGCAATTTTGAATATCAAATTATTTTAAACAGAAAAGCTGGATCACATTTTAATGAATTCAGGTAGGTAGTTATTGGCAAGGGGGCAGAATGATTCTCAAACTTGGAACTCTCTTAAGACATTATTACATATTTATTATGACTATATATAATTTTGTCTTGCAGGGAAATTAGTTTTAAAAAAATCATTCACAAAGACTTCTATTACACCCTCTCTCCATGCAATCAGAATTATCTTTTTCACTTAAGATTTATAAAGAATTTATGAACAGCTACAATGGTGTCATCCAATGATTTGTATCCACTCAGATAAAAAATAAACATTGGTTAAGAATGAAATACAAAGATCATACTGATAATCCATACTTATTGGGAACATTACGAATTCCTAGTAATGAGTGGTAAATGGTTTTACTTACATTGCAGCTGTGATTGATGAATCGAGCAAGGTTGCCACACTTTGTTGCATCAATGATAGTGTCTACGTCAATTCGAAATAGGTATGAGCTGCCTATGCCTGTTGCCTCATAATGCCTTTCTCGCAAGTCAGCAACCACTGGACGAACCATTTGTCCCACGTACTCTATCACCATCTCATCAGCTGCTATTGGTTCCATTGCAAACAGGCCCCAATCATGAATTGCAGACTTGGCAAACTTCAGTTGTTTCTTACGGAACTGTAAGTAGACAAAACTTGTTACAGTAGCTGCCACCAAATTCCATGATCTCAAGGTCACAGCAAAGTTGTACAATATAGCAATAAGAACAATGAAGCACAAGTTATTATTTTTGAACAGATATATCAGTTAGAGAAATAAGATTTGTTAATGACAGGAAATAATAACAGTACAGGTCAGTGATGTGTTACTGTTGCAAATATCCATATCTGAAAGGAAAATCAAAGTAATGACATGAACAGTAATTTTATGAGCAACTGGAATATGCATCTCATCAGTCTCATATAAATATTTGGTTAGATTTCAACACAAAAGTATGTAGGGTGGATAGCTTGAAAGTGACAATTTAGAATGTGACTTCGTAAGAATGGTGTTGAGCAGTACTTAAAGAGAACATTCATAAACTGAAAATATAAAGGCAATGACTGAGTAAAAGCACTAGAACTGTGCACATGTTTATTACCGTGTTGTACTTGTTTTTCATATCTCACCCTATTGGTGCACTGTTATTGCTGATAAATTGGAGAAAATGTCACAAGGAAGCATCTATGATTTAAGAATTCAAATCTGGAAACCTCATGTCCCAAATCAACAATGCAAAGAAATAAAAAAAAGTGTAAACTAAAGAGTAATTTATAAACGGGTCTAACCTTCAACTGGTTAAACTTCAGAAGATCACTATCAGTATCAGTTCCAAAGGCTGTAAGGAGGCGCCGCTGGTTACTACGTGCTTCACGAGATAAGGCCTGCATCTTGCCTGATACAGATTTTGGTAAATCTGCCATTCCTCCAACACCAACTTCAACATTCCCACCTGCCTGTTGAATAATTTGTCCATAATGGTGCTGCAAATAAGAATAAACTTTTAATACATACAATTTACTATATTTTCACCTTTGCATACTCTTTTAGTATGTCCACTGCACTGCTGAAAATAAACAAACTTTAATACAATAAATATATGTTAAATTGAAACATAAGAAATAGGCTGCAGATGTGAGAAATCAGAAAATAAGACAGTTGAAAAGAACAAATAACTAAAACTGTTACAATTTCTAGATGAACTTTTCATACTCAGTATAGCATACATAATAAAAGTACGCACCTTGTGCTTTGCCTTTTCTCTAACATCAATTTTATAAAATCCTTCTGTCCGGGCACATCCAGTTGCATGAATTCGACTGTCATCACGTTTCCTTTTCTTGGCTGGTGAAGCAAGGTCAGTCAGTGGACTGGAGTTAAGGTTAATGTGATTGCAGTACAGAATACAATCAGACATAATCACATAAGTTTTATAAAGGCATATATGAAGCAGAAAGAAATTAATTGGCATGCTCTTATCCCACAATGATTAGGAAGAACAAATATGCATATTTCCATTACAATTTAACATTATACATAAGAAGTTCTAGAAAGACACAATGACTACTTCCTTTAAAAATGCTTCCCATAAGCCACATAAACAACTGTTAGAATGAAGGTAAGTTAACTTTACTGTTTTCATGAAGTGATACTTCAAAACCTTGTAGCACTTGGCATGAAGTATGTAATTCAACCAAGAGTCTGACAGTTGCATTCAACTTTATCTATTACAGCTCAGCTATATTTGTGCAAAATTTCTACTGCTAATCATTTGCAATACCTGAAATTTGACAGCAAGGAACTAAACATGACAGTTCACTGACTGGCACTCCTGCTTCATGTGGGAGGTTAAAATCTTGATCCAAAGACTGGCTATCCTGAGCGGATTTCCATGGTTTTCATAGCCCCCTCCAAACAACTGCTGGGACTGAAGTTAGCTGTTTCTATTGGACCCAACCGAGTAAGTGCCCCCCCTCCCCCAACCTGAGGACAGAAGCAGATCCAGCTTCTGAAATGTAGCGTTCTTTTTAAAAACAAAGATGATGCACGTAGTCCAAGAGTTTAGTGATTCCGATTGTAACACGGCATCGTCAGTACTCTTTAAAAATAACTGTACTTCTTTACAATGTTTTTACAAAGGCTGTTTAGAATCAAACCAGCAACTGGTGATGCTCTTCTGGATCTTGGCCCTGAGCAGATGTGTTGGCAGATGCCAACTGACAAGTCTATACAATGCCAAAACCCAGAACATCATCTGTCAGCACTATGAAAACCTCAAATCTCACAAACCAGCAACTGGCTTTCAGCCCATTGTACAGCATACATTGCAGTAGTGATGATTTTAATATTAAATGCTTTACAGAAGACCAGCATAAGACACTTTACCCAGTTGTGTAGGACTGTATAACATGAAAAAGATTTAAAGGCACTGAACATTCATCCTGTATTTTAATGATACAGAACTTTACATCCTGAATTAAAGAATATCAACATTCTTTGTATGAAAATCACCTCTACTAACAACTCTTTTAACACAAAGGAGAATGGCTACAATGCAGAATATAAAACAAAACTGCTTATCCCATGCAACCACTCCTGGCTCAAAAAGCAGTCTTCCTGATAGCATAAACTGACAATATGGACATGTGGAATGTTTTATAGTGGATGTTCGGTGTAATACCCAATATGCCTATTATGTTTATCTTGATTCTCTGACAACAGAAAACTTCTTGCTTTATAAAAATATGCAGCCATATACACAAACATGCACACAAAGATATGAAACAACAGGATAATATATGGAATATATAAATAATGTTGAATTATGCAAATTGGTACATTCATGGCAATATAATGGAAAATGTAAGTCAGACAGTGAAGATTGAAGTCAATCTAGCCAAGCAGTCAACAAGTTCCTGTGTAAACTTGCAGCAAATGATGGAAACAATTAATGCATAAATTTCTGGTTGCTGCAGCAAGAATAGTGAACATCTGCAATAAATTTCCTGGTTCTTCAAAAGTCAACAAATGATTCCAAGGGACAGATATAGCTTTTGTGCATCTGGAAAACTGGAACACGCAACAGCATGTAAAATATGAATATTCACATTGTAAGGATGCTAAAATTAAAAAATGTAGTATCATTACTTTTTTTTTTAAATATTCACTTTCAATTTTAGTTTCCAACCATCTCTTGTATTGTTAACATAGTTTTAAGTAGAATTACGAGATATGAACGCAACAGGACAAAATTCCTTATTAACAGAATATGCTATACTACTGTCAAATGACAAGCAACAGCACACAAAATTAGAATTTTAGAGATGTCTGTAAAGTCTTCAGCACATGGCACAACCAAACAAATGTTAAATTAGTGCAAATAAGTACTTCGTGCACCCAAACTGAATTCTCAAATCTGACAAATATCCAGTTTTCTCATGCAAACATTGTACAAAAAAGGTACTGGTGATAGTTGGATAAAAAGCAGCATATATTCAAACCCTTTACTGAACATCTGTATGAATAAACGAATACAGAACAAACACAACATGCAATTAGCATATGAAAGGATATCAGGATGATCAACCCAATGAGTGTCATTGAGCCAGTAGCCTTGAGTATCATCTGCCAACATTGCTTCATAACTTCTCCTCAAGTAACTTATGTCTTCTGCATCAATGCCACGGGTTAAGAACTCATACAACACTGTCATTTCAGCCATCATATCTCTCTTACCAAAAATCATGGAGTGTGTTGGTTTAGAAACTTTAGAAATAGATTTCTTTGGTGTCATTAAAGCACCTTCAAACTTTAATGACTTCCTAGGTTTCTTCGACTTTGGTGTTACCATAGTTTCATTATCCTCCATGATGGTTGCTAGAGGTTGTGGTGGTGTCTTGGGTTGTGGCATCATGTAGCCATGATCATGATTAATTGCAGCTTCTTCAGGAGACTGTTGAGACTTTTGATACTGGGGCAATTTCCTCTTGGCAGAACTGTCACTTCCAGCCACACTTGCTGGTGATGACGCTGGATCCTTCTGAGGAGGTAGACTATAAGAATGTTCCATCGCAATTTGTGGTGCGGGAGACCCCTCTTCCTATTATGCAAATTGGTACATTCATGGCAATATAATGGAAAATGTAAGTCAGACAGTGAAGATTGAAGTCAATCTAGCCAAGCAGTCAACAAGTTCCTGTGTAAACTTGCAGCAAATGATGGAAACAATTAATGCATAAATTTCTGGTTGCTGCAGCAAGAATAGTGAACATCTGCAATAAATTTCCTGGTTCTTCAAAAGTCAACAAATGATTCCAAGGGACAGATATAGCTTTTGTGCATCTGGAAAACTGGAACACGCAACAGCATGTAAAATATGAATATTCACATTGTAAGGATGCTAAAATTAAAAAAAGGAGTATCATTACTTTTTTTTTTAAATATTCACTTTCAATTTTAGTTTCCAACCATCTCTTGTATTGTTAACATAGTTTTAAGTAGAATTACGAGATATGAACGCAACAGGACAAAATTCCTTATTAACAGAATATGCTATACTACTGTCAAATGACAAGCAACAGCACACAAAATTAGAATTTTAGAGATGTCTGTAAAGTCTTCAGCACATGGCACAACCAAACAAATGTTAAATTAGTGCAAATAAGTACTTCGTGCACCCAAACTGAATTCTCAAATCTGACAAATATCCAGTTTTCTCATGCAAACATTGTACAAAAAAGGTACTGGTGATAGTTGGATAAAAAGCAGCATATATTCAAACCCTTTACTGAACATCTGTATGAATAAACGAATACAGAACAAACACAACATGCAATTAGCATATGAAAGGATATCAGGATGATCAACCCAATGAGTGTCATTGAGCCAGTAGCCTTGAGTATCATCTGCCAACATTGCTTCATAACTTCTCCTCAAGTAACTTATGTCTTCTGCATCAATGCCACGGGTTAAGAACTCATACAACACTGTCATTTCAGCCATCATATCTCTCTTACCAAAAATCATGGAGTGTGTTGGTTTAGAAACTTTAGAAATAGATTTCTTTGGTGTCATTAAAGCACCTTCAAACTTTAATGACTTCCTAGGTTTCTTCGACTTTGGTGTTACCATAGTTTCATTATCCTCCATGATGGTTGCTAGAGGTTGTGGTGGTGTCTTGGGTTGTGGCATCATGTAGCCATGATCATGATTAATTGCAGCTTCTTCAGGAGACTGTTGAGACTTTTGATACTGGGGCAATTTCCTCTTGGCAGAACTGTCACTTCCAGCCACACTTGCTGGTGATGACGCTGGATCCTTCTGAGGAGGTAGACTATAAGAATGTTCCATCGCAATTTGTGGTGCGGGAGACCCCTCTTCCTCCACTTCATTCTCTACTGATGTTTCCATACTGTCCAGGGTACTTTGCTTTCCAATCACTTCACCATTAATGACTGAGCCATGGGTTTTATTAGGAACTTTATTTAATATTGTCCAATCACCAATTTCCATTCTGCTCTCTAGTACATGAGAGGATTCATGCTGCTTCTTGAGCCTTCTAACTGCTAATGCTTCATCATCTGAACTAGCAGGAGACTGTTGTGATGTCTCAGCTGTATCATCTGTTTCTAGTTTCATTTCTTCTTTATCAACAGTTTTATGGCCAAGGGATTCACCCGCAAGAGCCATCAATGCCTCTACTGCTGAAACTTCTATTCTTGATTCCTCCCTTCTTCCTACGTGCTCAGCACCATCCACATTTGTGTCAAATGAAGCAGATGGAAATAATTCACTATGTTCAGTTCTACTTTTAAGAGTTTCACTGTCATCATCATTTTCCTCAAAGTCACTTAATATCTCTTCTGCTGGGATTGGAGTTACACTGCGCTCAGATGTCTGCTCCCTGTAGGACAAATACAATCTGTTACTCCTGTCTGTGAACACACATACATACAACAAACACACACACAAAATTTTATCAAAACAGCAGGACTTCACAGAATGAAAATATCAATATTTATTCACATTTTTCATAAAAAAACAATTTACTACAGACTTCTCCATTACATGCAGTAACATGGTTGGTGATATGACATTAATTTCTTCAGAAATTCTCAGTTTCAGATTATTTAAGTCTGCCAGACGTATCTCAAACACTTTGATTTTCAACAAGATGAAGTGACAGCACATACAGCTTGACAACTGTGAACACTTCAAGGGCTGTGTTTGAACATTAAATAATTTCCCACTATGGCAAAATTCCTTGGCCAGCCAGCCTGCCTTATCAGTCGACTTATGATTTCTTTTTATGGGGCTGACTTGGAGCTATGGGGTCTGGCTGACTTAAATAATCTCAAATGTAGAATTTCTGAAGAAAATAATGTCTTATCGCCAGCCATGTTACTAAGCATAAAAGAGAGTGTTATAAAAGAGTTCATCAATGCATCAGTCTTGATGGACAACATATGATGGGTGTTATTTTTAAGAAGCAACTTTGTTATAATGTTCCTCAATAATGGCAGACACTTGTCTTTCAATTCACATTACTTTTAATAAATTTGAATAAACTGTGTATGACTAGTGTAGCTTCCAAAAATTATGAATGAATGATGCCCAACCCTATACGTACTACTAGGCAAAACATCAAAACATAAGCACTGAAAAAGATGTGCATCTCATTACAAGAGTCCTAATGAGTATCAAATGGAGTTCCACCATATTAAATTAAATTAAAAGCAAAGCTATAAACCTGTGAATTTCAAAAGTGTCATTGGTACTGTAACAGAAACGTGATTACACATTCAATGACATTTCCACCTAGTTCTGCTGCATGGCTGAAATGAACTCTGCACTTTGAGCACAATAATGACAGAACTTGTACCTGAGTTTATGCAATGCTTCAAGATCTTCCATATCAACCAGGTCCAAGAGCCTACTTTTCCTTCTGTTTTCATCCTCTGTTCCATCTTCTCCTTCATTCCCTGCCTCACTATCTGAACTGCTTTCACTTTCTGAGCTTCCTGATTCAGAAGAAGAAGAAGAAGAAGAAGAAGATGATGATGATGATGATGATGATGATTCTGATGAACTTGAATCCGAAGATTTGCTGCTCTCTGTCCTTGATGAAATGGGAGAAAGCTTTGATGACTCATCATCAGATTCACCACGCCGCTGGAAATGTGATCGTGAAACTTCAATCTATAAACAACACACAGTCTCTCTTAAGTTACAAAATGTCATATTTGACTATACTAAAATCAAAATAACAATTATTATACTTACTTTGATTCACATACTGCAAAAACAATTTTTGCAGATTACAGTCAATATCTAATACACCAATTAAAATGAGTTGCCACTAGTCATTCTGTTTTTGCGCAACAAAAGCATGCACTGCATTCCAGGGTAGATACTTTAAAAATAAACAAGATGATCTGGACAATTAAATATATTACACTGCAGTACGTATACTCATGTAATTACATTCTGAACAGGCTTTAAGAAGTTTTATTTTATTATATTAACATCAAGATAGACAAGTCAGAAATTTTAAATGTGTATTTTACCTGCATTTCTGAATCTGATGCTTGTACCATTTCTTCCTGATCGCTTTCCACCAGCTCCCGTCGAGAGTCATCTTCATCCAATGGAGGTGGTGATGGTGCTTTGAGCTTTCGCTGCAAAAGAAAATCAAGTATTGAAGCTATGTAAATAAGACAAAAGTTCTAAAAAGAACTACTGACACCAAGTCTCCTCTGAATTTTTGTATATGTGTAAAGAGACTAAAACAAGTTACAAATTACACAACATGGCTGACACATTTCTGTACACAACCCAACCAATATAAGTCTCCAGTACTTCAAATCTTTTCACTGTGCCCATGTTTGTAATTGAGTAAAAGTTTAATAAAAAATCTGTACACATATCTACTGCCATACCAAATTTCATATGCCAGGCTTGTCAGTCTTATAATACAGAATAATTAATGCATATTTGTTGTCAGTACTGTTATTATTTTACATCCCAAACAGAAATTACATCTAACAACTTTTTAAATAAGTATTACCACACAAAATTTTGAGACCCTACATTAAATGGCACTAGTGCTGCCACATTATCATTATTCGGTCAGTACACACCAATATGCACACAGGCAAACTTGTCAAAATTATGAAGCATGAGCAAGAATACTACTTACTGTCTTATGGGATGTTGCACTGTGTAGTCTCATAGAAGCTTACTGATGTTTCAGAGGTGCTTGGTGCCTTCATCATTAGGGCAGCAGCAAGCACCTCAGAATCATTGATAAACTTCTACCAAATTATACAGCGCAACAACCCAGAAGACAGCCATCTTCAAGTCTATGTACAGTAAAAAATACTTACCCTGAAGGAAGGCAATTTTGGCAAAGCTGCTCTGAAGCCAAGACCAAATCCTCCGAGGCCAACAGAATCCAAACTGAAAGTCTCTCTACCCGTATCTAAAATTGAGTTCAGAAGGTTCTCCTGCTTGCTGCCCGGTGGAACAGATGACAGTTTCTCAAGTGGCACTGACTCTATGTCAAATGAACTATTCTGCAACTGTTTTAATAACAGAAGTTTTAAATCCGAAGAAACATAATGTAAGCAACACCAGAACATGAACAGAAAAATAATTGTGAGAAGCAATCATATATAGAAGTATGTACCAAGGAAAACGGGATGTATAGGATGGCAAAAATTAAGTATCCGAATATTAATATCTTCAAATGTCATTTCACTTCAACTATCATCATAACTGAAAAAAATCCTTTTTAATTCTGCGACAACTGGTGGCATTCCCACTGCACTGCATTTTGTGGACCAAGGAACACGTTACTTCTACAGCCTAAATGTAACAATTTCGTGTTCGATAGTATACATGGAAGTGCTGGGTTATCTCTATGTCTTCCCCTCCCTCTCACATGTATATTTATAATACACATCGAGACACAGAGTTATGTTGCATCCACTGTAAAATAATGAAGTTTGAACAGGCCACTTCTGAGCTTTCATAAAATGAAAAGTACTAACCTTAGATTTCCTCTCTTGTTCATCCCACCAGTTTTCAAATGATTTAAATGCAGTATTCTCAATCATCTTCTTATTGAAATCCCGTTTCAATATTTGCTTCAGTTCAGTGATTATCCTCTCTATGACACCACTGCAAAAACATGAAACACGTGATAATTTACCAAACATTTTATGGTTGTGGAAATTTGTGAAAAAGCATGACTAAAAACCTATAAAACATCCAACTATCATGCAAATATTCTAATTATTCACACAAATTTATTACACTGCCCTGGAAACAGAAACAGATAAATAATTAGTATGAAACATAACAGAATGAATACCAGTTACTATCACACAAATGGTTAGACAGCGTGTGTACCTGTGACGTCAGGAATGTTCGGCCTTCACCTTCTCATAGTGCTTTATTGAAGTCACTAACAGCTGATGTACTTTATCATTGTCCTCCACTTGTCTTCAATATTTGATGAATGCAGACTATTTAAACAGCTGCTGATCTGTTATGTCTGAATCCACACTGACAACCCCTAATAATTGTCTATAGAGCTTACTTTCTTAAAAGAACATTCGATAAAGTTGACAACAGTAACATTCCTCAACACTTCCTACAACCAATTTTAATATGGGTCTTCTTTCTTAGTAATGACACTGCATAATTTTTGCATTAATCACCCAGAAACAGTACTCACATTAGCATTAGACTATTATGAAAGCCAGTAATTGAAACATTACTTTATGACAGTACTTACTTAATAGTTGGAGCTTGTGGATCAGTACTCTCAAATGAAATTTGTCCTTGTGCTTGTGGAAATCTTGGGTGAAAGTTTGCATATCCATAGTGCATTGTTGTCCCCAATGGTGCTATACCTGGAGGATACTGAGTATTTGGTGGGTAACCCGGTGGTGGTGGAAAATGAAATATTGTTGGTGGATAAGGGTAGTTAGATCCTGGTGCAGGAGGTCGGGCCCATGCATACATCTCGGGTGCACCGGGATATAAGGGCATTGGTGGTGGGTGGTAGTATGGAGGTGGGGGGTATCCGTGCGATGGATAAGCTGTGTATGGTGGTGGAGGTGGATACATTGTGACGGGCGGTTGAGATGCCACCTCTATCTTCTCGCCTCCAGAACTGAGACTAGAAAGTGACATGCGATCATCATCTCTATGTTCATCTTGCAAGGGAGTTGACTTTCGGCTTCCAGCACCTTCTGGTTCAACCCCTGGTGGCAGATCCGATGATGCCGATGGTTGTGGCGCTTGATCAGAATCCTCAGCACTACTGTCTAGTTGCCTTTGTTGCTGCTGTGGACTAAAATATTCTGGCTGAGTCTTCCCACTTGCTTCAATGTGTGTTGCAGTCAGAGTCTCATCCTCACTGCTGCTAATAATGCTGCCTAGGTCATCATTGTCAGTAGCAGGTTTACTTAGATTCACACTCTCCAACAGACCAGTAGTCTCTTCTTGTTCTTTCTCCCGAGCTTTACGAGCTTGTTCAATCCCAATCTCATGCCACTTCAAATAAATCTCGGCCGAAAGGAATGGTGAAGGTGGTGTAGACAGAGGTTCATCATGGTCATCTTTATCAGGTGGGGGAAGTGGAGGCAATGGTTCATCACCTGGTGGGGGAGGGAGACTAAGTATAAGTGGAAGAGGAGGAGGAGGAGGAGGTATTGACGGTCCATCTGTATCAGAGCCACTAGAAGACCGAGATGGCTGCTGAGATCTGTCTAAATGACGGCGTGAAGAATGACGATGTCTCGCAGATCCATGCTTTAATGAACTCCCTGATGAACGCCTTGAAGATATTTTACCAACAGACTTTACATGGGTATCGTCATCTGAATCACTACTGATTCCTAACTGAAGAAATGGAGGAGCCATACCACCAGCTCCTTTCCCTTTGAGAAGCATTTCAATTCTTGTATCCAAATCTAAAACTTTTGGTGTCTCTGGACTTACACTTTCACTAGACTTTTGTGATGCATTCCCTTTCCCACTAGGTTTCACATCCTTCTTCCCACTACCTCTTTCTGGTGAGAAAACAATGTTACGTCCATCACCAGCAATGGGAGTCCATGTTGGCGTAGCATTGGCTGGAGGAAGCGTGGTTACTGTACCACTATGGATTGGGATATGACGCAGCGCTGACTGCTGAATGGGCCGTGCTGACTGTTCCCAATGTGGCAGCATCTGCTGTGACTCACCCCATGACTGTTGCCACTGATGAGAGCTTGAGTGTATGGGTGGAGCTAAAGGATGAGAGGGGTGGATTGGTGGAGGAGGCAAGTGAGCCTGTATTGTGTGAGGTGGATGTATCTGATGACCATAAGGTGGTGGTGGTGGTGGTGGAGGTGGTGCAATGGGAGGTCGGGGATGATGTTGGCTAGCTTGTGGGTGATATGGGGGATAGTGAGTAGAATGAGGAGGAGGAGGTGCAGAAGGATAGTGATTGTGGTAATCATAGCTAACAGGAGTGCTGTGTGCTGAATGGTTGGATGGTGTAGAGCCATGGTAGCCATAGTCTTTGTTGCTACTATAACTTCTTTCTGAGTAGCTTCCAGCTTCACTTGGGGCTGTGCCATAGTCACTTGTACTAGAACTTGGGGTAGGATAATCACGATGTCTTGAAATGGGGAACGTTCGGTGATCTGTTGATGTGCCATACTCCCTGTTATCATGAAGAGGAAATGGCACAAGCTCCTTATTGTGATTAACACCACGAGACAAAAGATCTTCCTTATCTGTCCATGTATGATCCAGATCATCTGAAACTGGATCTGGAGGAGCTATTCCAACTTTCTTTGGCAACTGTTTTTTCACAAGTACGTCTTCTTTGTCTGTGGCACCTGATACTGAATCATCTGCTACCACATCAGGTGCGGCTTCTTTTTCCAATTTCTTGTCTTGAGTCTTCTCCTGGAAAATCTTTCGACACTCCTCACCTTCAAAAGGGAAGATAAAGTAACAAATACAGTAATGTCAATAACAGTACGCACATGATAAAACTTCCAGAAATGGTAATACATTACCAAATGCATCAAGGAAGACTTGAAGAACTTTCCCCATGACAGATGTGTTGCTGAGTTTTTCAACACAAGCCTTGGCTGACTTCACTGTCTCAAAAACAACTCTGGCTAAGCCCAAGTGCTTATTGGAAACAGGATGATAATAGATAAATAATTCCTCTACAAGACCAAATTTTTGCACCTGGAAACAAGAAATGTCCCAAAACAAGAGCAGATTAAGTATACATAGTCAATAAAAGTCATAGGGTTCAGTCACAGTTGAATACGTTATATGCATATATACATCTCCTTACCATATCTGAGAGAAAAGCTTTGTCAATATTGTCATTCAAGTTACAAATTGTTACTTCTAGTGGTGGTGGATCCCCTACATAATTTGCATCGATCTGTAACAAAGATACATTATAAAGAACATAATGTCAACGTAAATTTAATATAGCAACATGTGACATATCTTCTTCCTGCATTACGTACAGCCAAAACATTGTGAACCTAACCTTAAATCTAGGTACAGGAATATCAAGTGGTTCAAGTCTTGTCCATATCCTTGTAAGTTGTGACCTTGGATCCCGAAGTTGTACTGGAGGGTATGTTGGGTCATTTGGTACATTGCCATCATATCTGTACAGCTTTGATGCACCTTTAACCAAAAAGGGGTCAACTACAAGCTTGTAGTTTCTAGGCTTATGATGGTGGTGATGATGTGATCCAGAGCGGCTGCCTGAGTGAGAGGACTCCATCATACCATTCATAGCTGAAAGTAAACCAAAACATTTATTGAAAACAATAAGTTGGGTCAAGCACAAATTCTTGTGAAGAAAAATATTTATGGGCCCAGAAATTAGGAACACAATAATCAATGACTTTTCGTGAGTTACGAATTATTTAAATGTAAATATGTGAAAACTATATGACATATTAATGTTCTATGTGTTCTATGGTTAACATCTGATATCGACATAAGGTCTGTCACATCGTAAAATTATTAGTAAACAACAATTTTATACCCGCGATGCTCACTTTTTTTGAACACGGCAAGCGGTGGGTAGACTATCGAAAAGGTTTTAGAAACAAATACACTAACCCTTTACTCAGATACATGTCACTAGAACAAATAATAAGATATCAGTTTTCATCCAAATCACTCTACAGAATTCACACACATCTTCAGTAGATTCATTCAACATTGTTACGAAGAGCAAGATACCCTCCTAAACACCATAGTTTCGTAGTCCTAACCTCTGTCAATTCCACACCCAATTTCAGTTTCATACCATCGTTATATAAATATTATATATTTAGGCAAAGTAAACATTTCCTTCATAAGATTTTTAAAAAACGCGTTACAGAGAATTTATGCAGTTTGTCGTAGAAGTAAATTATTTATGCTTATTTAGAGGTGTTTGAGGTGACTTCTATTGTAGTTCATTTAAAACACACTCATTCATTGGTAGAAATATTAAAGGGAACTACTGCTTGACCAATTAGAATATGAAATACATTCTATGTTAGGCACGCGTGAAAATCTTCGTAAATCTGAGGAAGGTGGCGAAAGAAACAGGCAATGGTATTTCTCGAATTTTTTCTTTATTATGGACAGCTTTTCATGTCGATATTTGTCTAATACATTCTTGATGTACCGTTTTAAATTCCACTTTCTTAATTTTAGGGGAACAAAGTGTCCATGAAACCAGTCATCCCCAGTGTAAAGGCACAGGATGAAGAAGATTTAGTGGATCCCCAACAAACTCTTAGGGTATTACAAAATAATATTTTTCATAATAATTCATTTGATTAATTACACAAAGGACATTGATAATGTTGTCGAACATATTTGCTTTCTTGGCCCTTCCTAATGGAGAAATTTCCACAAACATCCCAATTTGTCATTTGCAAATTGAGTTAAATTGCTTTCCATAAGCACAAGTGTCACAACTCATGTAGGTTATCAGAATCCATACAGCAGATTGAATTAACATTTTTAAACTGTATTTTTCTTACTTAGGAAGAGTGTCATAAGTTGACAAAATGTACAGAACTTCAGGAAAAGTATACCGCATGCAATGACCGAGTCAACTCAAGAAAGAAAACATCAGAAATATGCAGTGAAGAACTTTTTGACTACCTTCATTGTGTGGATGCCTGTGTTAGCAAAACTTTATTTTCACATCTGAAATAGAAGTGCTGAATTTAATCATTAGTCATGTTCAGTTTAAGAATTTGTATATTATAGATTTCATTTTCTTTCAATCCTGTATATTATTTTCACTTATATTAAATAAAAGGAAAACAAAGAACTGAAACATGAATAGTTCTTGGAACCCAGTTAAGTCTTTAACACAAAGATACTGCTGTATGTGTTGGTCCAGTTGATAAAATGGCATATGCTTCATAGTAAGATGTTGATGTGTTGGATATTCTGAACATTTTAAGTATGTTAAACTTCTAGAATGCATTATTAGAAAGGCACACAAACCCCCTAAATTTTTAACTTCGTCTTTAGCGTAATTGTACCTTAAAACGACTTTATAATGTTCAGTAATTCTTCTCTAGCAGCTAAATGTATTCTCACTGAAGATAGGCGTCTTCTGGGTTATTGCACCATGTAGTCTGGTAGATTTCCAACATTTCAGAGGTCATACAGCCTCCGTCATCAGGGCAATGAATGTGGCAGTCTAGTGGAAAGGGCCAGGTTTATAGGGACCGGACAGTAACTGGAGTAGCCTGATCCTAGCCAAGCCTGTGTCATTGGCTAAGATCAGGCCTACAGAATTCAGGTTACTATAACAAAGATCATCACTTCATATAATTCTGAGTCACTTTAATCCTTTTCATAACCTCATTTCCTTCTTAGCATTTCAAATATGCTTCCCAGGTCTTTTCTTCACATAATTCCCCCAATATGTAATCCATCTCCCGCTCAAATTAATAACATTTTTAATTTGCCAGTCACAAAATACCTTATCATGTAAGGTCCTCAATCCTGTATTTACCTTGTCTTGATAAGTAGCACAGAAAATACCTTTGTTACATTTTATATCAACATATCATACAGCAAGTCAAATATGGGATTATTTTTCATTCCAGCAGTTACTTCTCAGGACAATCAAAGTAATTATGTAAATATATGAAAAATCTGGCTAACCAAGTCTGGGTTTCAACAGTAACTTTCTAATACATAAAGATAATATTTCACATTACTGTATATCTATACACTGTATTAGGGAAACAAATGGAAATAATATTATTTTACAAACAATTTATTGCGTTACAAAGATATCCACAGGACAAAGATTAAAGGCATATTTATGTAACACCTTTCATACACATCCAATATTTGAATGTCATTTGGTCCCTAATAAGGTATCATCAGGATTTATTATTTGGGTTTTTAAGAAAGTACTCATATTTCTTTTCTAATTCATAATATCTTATATTACTATATGCATGTTTCCTAAGAATTCATCATATTAGCAAATAACGTGCATTTTAGTTGTAACAACTGAAAATTCCTTTCCTGAACATACATGTGATAATTCACATTAATAATTACGGTTACATGTCTGCAATATCAATAACGTGAAGAGACACATGTCCTTCACACTGAAATAGGAATATTTTGTCCGATTTCTTGTATAAGTTAATCCATTTTGAAATCCAGTTGTAGTTGCTAGAATCACTTTTTTATAAATTCAAGTTACCCAGTTATTTCTTTCCTGTAAACTAATAAATTACCACAATTTGTTCTAAATATTCTGACTTACACAGTAGGTTTGGTACCTTATACTGAAAAGTGCATTTTTATTCATGGCTTTATTTTATAACACTGCCAGTAGCTCAGACTATATATACTGCTGAATTATAGGATGATTAATGGACAGATGAAAAAGAAAGATCATACAAGGAAACAGTTATAGTCTAATGTAAGGTACTATCCAATTTCCAACCTCTCATGTTTCCAGAAGAGTGCATATTATGCAGGCATCAAAATTTTCAGTCTACCATCAAATCTCCAAGTCTTATAAATACAAGGGCACAGTTTAAAGTGGCATTAATAATATACTTAATTACATACTCCTTTTACTCTGTTGATGAAGTTCTAATGTTTATAAACAAATCACAATGATCATTAAGGTTTTCTTGTCTTCATATAATATAAATGGGTAATATAATTTATCTACCATATGTAATGGCTGGATTTATTTGTAACGTATCACTTTATGTGAATGCTTTGTAATATGTGAAATTTTTATAATAGTAAGAATTGTACTTGTATGACTTATTCCACATCTTATTGTCATCTAACTTACAGATTCACAGAATGTAATGAAGATGTATGCATGTAGGTATCCTGGCATTTTCATGGAGGGACAGGAAAACCACGACAGATCTCACTCAGGATAGCAGGACTCTAAACTATGCACATAATTAAGTGCTGCTTCTTTTCTTTACTGCCCAATTTAAACAACATTTACATATCTGACATAAGAACATACAGAAACACCTGCAAAACAAAATAAAGAGAAATCAAGCCATAAAGTTTCTCATTCTGAGAAAAAATCAAAACTATTGTTACAGATGACATAAATTTTCTGATTCTTGATTTATTGGTGTAGGCTCTTCAGGATAGACAGCTGCTAATATGAAAATAAAATTAATTTTAGGAGAATGCTGATAGGTCTTCTCAATTTCTTAACACAGTTCACAAGAACAGAGGTTGTTGCCATACATTGTGAATACTACAGCTCTACCAGAAGGCACTAAGCCCATGCTACCTTAAGAGATGATATAAAGGATATGACAAGCAACCTGTTCATATAATAAGACAGCACTCAAATAAACAGAAAACCTGAATTCCAAATTTTCAATTTATGTACAGCTTATAAATCCTGAAGATTGCAGTCTGGCAGGGAAAACCAGAACTACAGAGGTGGTAGGAAATGACCAATCTCAGCCTCAACACAGAGAACGGCCAGCCAGGTGACTTAGGAGGCAGCCCCTCCAAACCTGGCAACCAGCTGTTGGGCCAGTCACCCACACTTGGTTTCTAATATGATTCAGACAAATAAAGATTGTTCGGCCAGACAGCTTCCATGGAGACAAGAAGGAATGGAGGAGGTGGACCGAGCAATCAACCTCGACACTATAAAGGCAAAAAGGGAGATGAGAAAGAGGAAGAAGGGTTATTGCGCTGTGTAGTCTGGTAGATTTCCACCAACATTTCAGAGGGCAAACTGCCTCCATCATTGCCCTGATGACGGGCAGTATGACCTCTGAAACGGTGGTGGAAATCTACCACACTACACATCGCAATAACCCAGAAGACAGCAATCTTCAGACTCACCATTGTGAAAACCTCAAATCCTACATATAAATCCTGTATGTAATGCAGTCTGTTTAAATACATTTCCACAGCACAGCATATCATTATGTCACTGGCCTATATATATATATATATTTTATTTTATACGATCCATTCTTCAGTGCCTGAGCATCTGCGGGTCCCAACTTTTCGTTAGCTCTGATCTAGACAATTGGTAGAACTCCTTGGACTTGTGATCGGCCCGTCGCAAGGCCTCTACCTATACACAGGACAGCACAACACAGAAAGACGCGACAAACATCCATGCCTTAAGTGGGATTTGAACCCACGATCCCAGTGACCAAGCGGCACAAGGCCCACGCCTCAGACCGAGCGGCCACTGTGATGGTGCCTACATATATAAAAAAAGGAATGATTAAATATCAGTCTTCATGTTATATTCAAATTTGATATGTATATACAAATATGATATAATAAAGTACCAATTATTTCTTTAGCAGAAATTCGATGTAGAATCTAAATATTTATAAGCTGATATTTCAGGTTCTCATGGCAGCCGTCTTCTGGGTTGTTGTAGTGTGTAATCTGGTAGAAGTTTACTAACATTTCTGAGGTGCTTGCTGCCTCCAACACCAGAGTGGTGTCTGATAGCCCTAATGATGGAGACATCAAGCACCTCTGAAATGTTGGTAAACTTCTACCAAACCACATGGCATAACAACCCAGAAGACAGCCATCTTCATTTCTAAAGATGAACAAAATCTGAAAAGGTGGATATGATATTTGAAGTGTACATGTGATAGAACATCTAGCAAACCAATAACTATTCTGAACTGCAGAGTCACTTCCATAACTTGTCTGACAAAGGAATGCTTGTGGTGGCTTCATGAACTTATGATTTGTTGCTAGGTGACTTAAGCTGATAAGCCATACATACAGCCTTCTCCTCCCCACAAAAGCAACTGAGCATTTATGAAAACAAACACTGGTAACCTGAAAGATAAATGCACTTTCTGGTCAGACTGGTAGAGAGCAAAAGAAAGTTAAAATTCAGTTTATACTGAATAATGCTAAACTTTCATAACTAGCTACATCATGGCAGTAAGAAGATAATTCGTGAATGATCACTGTTTTACTAAATAAATTTTTCATTTAAGAACAATAGTCTTTCAAGTAAATATGGAGCCTTTTCTTGTATAAAAATGCCCACAGATCATCAAGATTTACCTAATATTTGCCCTGAGTATGGCCAGCAAATTCTAGTGATGAGACCAGAAAAACAATGGTTCCCAATCAAAAGGACAACAATTCACAGTCTGATGACCAACACCACACAGAACTGTCACATAATGCATCAGACCCTGGGAAAATTAACTCATGCTATTACAACATGAGACACTGTCATGATATGAACTGTGATATTGCTGTTAATTTTCAACAGCTGAAATTACATTTATAATTCTCTATCCTGCAGTAGTAATTAATTTGGTTTTAGCAGCAAACAGTTTATTAATATGATGAATTTCTAGTAACATTAGCTCCTCTGCAAAATAAACACTGACAATGATCTGTATCACATGCAATTTATACTACATTATAAATGTTCCACAGATCTGAATTTCAAACATACTTTAAAATTTCAAATAAATTAATCATATATAACATTTTCAAGAAAAACATCCCTTTAACAAATAATAATGTAATTTCCTCCTGTAATATTGCCATATGCAGTTACCTAGGAATATTAAACAATTCCCTATGTTCTATTTTCATACATGTATAATATCATGTAGTTTGCCTCCAATATAATCATCCAAAATGGAAAAGTACAGGACAATTATCAACTGTTGTTATTCTTATTAGCATAGCAATGAAGGTTCTTAAAATTGATATTTCTCATAGAACCTCATTATAAATTAACAAGATACCTTCTTACTTATGCTCAGTTTCTATGGGAATAATCTTCATTGTGCTCTGGTATTCACAACTTCACATTCCTTTTTTCCATTCATACCTGCTGTTCTTAATATTATTTATTTTACTTCACTGTTGTTGGTCCACTATTTTTCATCCTAGAGTTCCAGAAAGGAAATTAATATTCCCCAGGAGACAGACACCATGACGAGTGTTAGGCACTTCCAACTTGCAAGACATCAAAACAAACCCAACAAACTCTAACAGGTTTATTTAATCCAAACTTTAGGATTGGAACGTCTCGATCTGAACACTTGCTGCATAAAATTCGACCACAATGCCGGCTGCAACAATAAATTGTTTGTTAGTACACGGCAGTTATATACAGGTACATTATAGGTCCTCACTCTGACTTTTGTAAAACTTCAGACATAGGAAGTATACAAAATGTTACCATGTAATGAATAAAATATGAAAAACATGTGAAAATAAAATTAATATACTTGGGAACATGAAGAATAAAATATTATGATATATGTCATTAAATAATGTAAAAGCTATATACATAAACTTTTCACTCACAAAATTGGTTCTAAATCACATACGTACTAAAGAACATTTCTTAATCCTTGTAAAAATTATTTAACAGAATTTTTTGTTGCCTGTCAGCTGATAAAAATACAGAGAAAACATTCTAAACATTGTAATGAATTAATGACAGGAGGCCAGAAGAACTAAATATGTACATTTTTTTATTTTTATCCAATAAAACTGGACAAGTTAGAACTCTTTATACTAAAGACACTTTTCTTCTCAGTAAATTTATCACACATTACATAAAAAGAAACCCCTGTAGTAAGTAACAAATTCCATCTGTATGTCTACCTACCCAACCAACCCACCTACACCATTATTTCCACAAATATTTGTTACTTATTTCATGAACCTGACTGTCCTTCTCGAAGGTATCACCACCTTGTCGAAGGCAATCTGCCGGGTGAGGAGGCTTGCGTGCTCAAATGACCCTTAGGGCTATGCCGGCCTGAGCTTCGGCTCATGGTAGGGTCACCCAAGCCGGACAGGTCTAAGGAGATGCGCTAGACTAAGAGTGATACCCTGGTCCTCCAGGTTGGGGGTTGGGTGTAGGGCTAACAACCTTTCACCTTTAAAAAAAAAAATATGTGTTACGAAAAAAATCAACCAAGCCTCGGATCAGGACGGACTCTTTGGCACGACCACGGCAATTGAAAAAGGACATGAGATTTGGTACCTGGAACATTAGGAGCCTCTATAGGGCTGGGGCACTGAAATCAGTGGGTAGGGAATTAGGGAATTATAAGTTAGACTTAGTGGCAGTGCAGGAAGTGCGATGGGAGGGGGAGGGCACGATCCCAGTGGACAATTTTACATTTTTCTATGGAAAGGGGAATGACAATCATCAGCTAGGGACGGGTTTTTTTGTTCATAGCAGAATTAGGGCAGCAGTTAAGAGAGTAGAATTTGTTAGTGACAGGTTGTCTTACGTAATTTTGGAAGGACGTTGGTGCGACATCATTGTCCTTAATGTTCATGCCCCAACTGAAGACAAAAGCGATGATATCAAGGATAGCTTTTATGAAGAATTGGAATCAGTATTTGATACATTTGGCAAGTATCACATGAAAATTCCGCTAGGAGATTTCAATGCAAAAATTGGGAGGGAGGATGTCTTCAAACCCACAATAGGCAGCGAGAGTCTCCATGCACTTAGTAATGATAACGGTCTTAGAGCAGTAACCTTCGCTACGTCAAAAGATTTAATTGTAAAAAGTACAAAATTTCCACACCGTGATGTTCATAAATACACTTGGACTTCCCCAGATGGCAGAACACACAATCAAATAGATCATGTTTTAGTAGATAAGAGAAGGCAGACAAATGTAATTGATGTGAGATCATTCAGAGGAGCAGATTGCGACACTGATCATTATCTGGTGGTAGCAAAAGTGAGGGAGCGGCTTTCAGTAAGTAGACGAACTAAACAAAATTTTGACACAGAAAGATTTGATTTGAAAAAATTAAGTGAGGGAGAGGCAAAGGAACAATATCAAGTTGAAATTTCGAATAGGTTTCAAATTTTAGAGACAAATGAGGATAATGAAAGTGTGGACATCAACAGGGAGTGGGAAAATGTCAGAAACTGCATCAAAATTTCAGCAAAAGAGAAACTAGGATACTACAGGAGAAAGCAAAATAAACCGTGGTTTGATGAAGAATGTTCAAAATTAATAGATCGAAGGAAGCAAACAAAATTTCAATGGTTGCAGAACCCAAACAAAACAAATGCGGATAATCTATGTAACGAGGCATGTGATTACTCAAATTTTATGTTTGATAACTTACAAGGGTGTGTTACACTCATGTTTATTACTTCTACAATAACAACTAAAAGAACAGGTTATAACAGACAAACCCTCAATTTTTCCAAGTAATCGTCAAGAGTAAATGAGGCATTTGGCCCAGTATAAATTATGTAAATATCAATTTAACTCAGTTCTTGTTTCATTCTCAGCATTATCATTTATTAAAATCCATGTCCCCATAATTTTGATTTAAGACTTATATTAAATGAGTGATGACAAAACAACTGGATCCACGGCTACTGCTAGTGATACCAATACACATGGCAAACTTGAGGGCCAGATGGAGATCACAGACTGCCAGACTGTCAACTCAGAATTCTTTTTATCATGATGAGAGTCCTACTCATGCTGGGTCAAAGGAAAATATTGGTTATTTTCTCACCAGTGATGCTTCCTCATTGTTAGGCCAAACTTGACACCACACTCCAAGCAAATGTCTCCCTCTGCCCAAGGGGGCTCCTGACACAAATTATCCAGAAGTCTAAGAAACAGAAAATATGGTTTTAAAGTACAAAGAATTCTGAGTATTTAATATAAATAGATCTATATTAACAGTACAATAAGATTTATTTTATGTTGCTATTCCCTGGAAATATTTGATCAAAGGCATTTAACACTTCATAGCAAAAAGTTAATCTAAATTACATTAAAATGTTAAGTTTCCACTTCAAAGAAAGTAAAATGTGTCTCCATTACAAAGATAAATTGGTTAATGCTGTTAAGAAATATAATCAGTTTATTCTGAGGGCCTCCCTGGCCAGATTGGTCGAGGGGGAGAGGTCAGACTAAGACAGGTACCCTGGTCCTCCAGGTTGGGGGTTGGTCGCAAGGCTAACTACCTTGCACCGTAAAAAGGAAGATGTTTCGAAACCTCGATCAAAGCCTCGGACAGATTGACCTAACAGAGGACCGAATGGAAGAGGAAAATTGAGGAGGCCATGGACCGAATACGGACCGGAGAGCCATAGAAGAAGTTTATTCTGAGAATTATATGAAACCCATAAATACAATCAATGGGAAAACTGCAGTTTTACTGAATGGTATAGCAGACAGTACAATAAGTACCACTGTGTTTAAAAGGGCTAACAGGAAAAAGTTATGTGTTAACAGGACAGCATAACTGACAGTCTAAGAAAAACTTTGCATCAGTTGTTGTACCTGGAAAGAAGTTGTTTTGTTGCCACCTGATAGTTGAAAATTGTTACTCCATCTTTGTTCATTGCACCAAGACATGCACCGGCTTTCACCAAGGTGCGGCACAAATTTCCATTCCCCTTCATATATGCCAGCAACAGAGCTGAAAGAGGCATGGAGTATTAAAGAAATAATACAGTTCAACATCTATTTTATCACCAACAGATATTACAAAATACTAAGCATTATATTTTTTATGTTAATACTTTCTCTGAATTAGTATCATTTGAAAGTTCACTGTAAAATACAATACTTGACATAAAGAGAACAATTTTTGAAAACTGGTGTGTTTTATTTATTTCATAATCCAACAGAAGTAGAGTAATGAATGACTCATCATCCTGATAACAGAAAAAAGTAATCTGGTAGAATTTACCAACATATCAGAGGTCCTTGCTGCTTCCATCATCAGGGCAATGATGGAGGCACTCACCACAGCACTACAACCCAGAAGACAGGAATCTTAGAAAAAAATACTTGCTACTGTACCTGTGTTCCCTTCAAGATCTGGCTTATCCAGTGGATACTCAGGCATGCACTCAAGAAAGAGGTCGCAAATGGCAGCTGCATTGTCACGCGAGTACCAAGCAAGGACATGTAATGGATTGCGACCTTTGATATTCATGGCTTCCGCATCAAGACGTGATTCAGTAAGTAAAGCACGTGCCACAGAAAGGTGTCCCTCACGGGTTGCAATGTGAAGTGCATTGTCACGTTCTGAGTCTATTGCATCAAAATCAGAACCATTCTGAATCAGAGCTGATACGACAGCGGCATGTCCCGCGGCAGTTGCTACATGCAAAGCTGTACGGCGGTGAGCATCACGATCGTCAGCCTGTACCCAAAGAAACCACTCATACAATGCTACTTCCAGTGACACATTAGTAATATCAGGTCCCATACAACCTCAGAGAAGTTTCACACAATAACCAAATATAGCACTGCATTCTTATAGAAAGGAACACATATTAATGCAGTTGGCCTCTTATTACCAAAAGTAAACGCCAGTTCGTCTAACTCACTCTAGCTCCAGCTAAGAGCAGACTCCGCACAAGCATCTCTGATCCTGAGGCTGCAGCCAGATGAAGTGGTGGAGTCTGTGATGCATCCTGGACTCTTGAATTAACATCCACATGGATTGATAGCAGAAACAGCACGCTCTCCATATCTTTATTCTGAATAGCCATGTGTAGGAAGTTGCGACCTTTGTTGTCATACTGCCAAACACAAACAGCAAACAGAAATACCATTAACCCTCCAAGTATTCCAAATTTATTCTTGACAACTTCTATTCTTCTGTCTCAGTGGAGTAGGAATTGTGAAGGTTTAGGAGCTATTAATTTAGATAACTCAACTGTATGTTATGACTCAGGAAATAAACATAATCTTCACATCCTCTGAGGTACATTCTGAAACACAATGGAAGTAGTGCAATGAACACTGTTGCAAGTACACCCAAGGGCTTATAATTCTCTCTGACAGCCAGCTGACTGTGTGTTACTTCCTTGGATAACATTCTGACCTTTACTGGCTTGTGGTAGAAAAATCAAGATGCATTTTGAATCATCTACGTGACTCTCAAACAGTTATGGGACCTATAAAGTGAGATGTCATGTGCCGGCAAGTTAGTTACGACTGAGTACACAAGTAAGCTGGTTGTAGAAACAATATAATTACGGTTATTTTCAAGTGTTAGCAGCAGTGAAGGATTCCCTTCATTGATTTTTATATCCTGAAGAAATCACAGATGCACAGAAACATGAATTTGCAGCAGTACTACAAAATGAGTGGTGCTACTGCATCAGAAGACAGGCTATTGCATAAAATGAGACACAAATGCTCCAAAGAAATATGAATTGTTAAAATAAAGCTGTCGCTGTTATATACTTGTATACTGAAACTTCTGTACTGACCTATGTATTATCCTAGTGCTACAAATCTGAGATACCTGTTCAGCTGCTGTGGGTAGCTTGTCAAGAATAGCTTGAGCTGCTTTGTTGTTCCTATAGGTAAGAGCTGTGGCAAAAGGAGTTAATCCACTCTTGTCCCGGATGGAGAGGTGAATTCCTGGATGGCATAATAACAAAGTGATAATGGCTGGATGTTGGTTCTGGATAGCAACATGAAGTGGAGTTTTTCCTTCGGCATCCTACAACAGCAACAGATGTCACTAAACTTTCACAAACATTCTGTCCTGTTAAAGGAAAATGTTGTTTAAAATATATGACTTCAGTCTATTTTTCATGTACTGAGACTTAAAACTGACTATGTCTTTTGGACTAACACATTAAAACCCAGTGGTAATATATGTACTACCTGCTTTAACAGTTAATAACAGCATGTTTTGCCCACACAGTGCATTACAGGTTTCATATGCTTCTCACAGTAATTACCATCCTTAAATCCATTAATCAATTGTCCTTTATAACGGAGATAAATTGTTTTCTTTGAGGTAAGAACTGAATTTTTAAATAATATTTAGATAAGCTTCAGTTTCAAAACGTTAGTAGCACTGCAAATGACAGAGAAGCCTCTGAAAGTAATAAATAAATGTATATTCAAATGAATAAACCAATATATAAATCAATGCTAACAAATTTGAATGACCTTTGTCCTGGTAATAAACATCTTACCCTGCTGTTGATGGCAGCACCATGCTCCACTAATGTTTGCACTACTGTTTCTAGACCCCACTGACAACAAAGATGTAATGGACTGGCCTGGTCACGAGCCTCATCACCGCCTCGACCTCCAGGGCCAGGTCTTCTGGCTTCATTCAGGTCACAGCCACTAGCATTTAAGAGCATGTTTAAGGTTAGGTTAGCAAAAGAATAATCTGTTATTTATGAATTTGTAGCTAAGAAGTCTTTTGAAAGTGTGGCAAAATTCAAATGTTTGGGAATGACATTAACAAATCCAAATTGCATTAAGGAAGAAATTACATGCAGGCTAAATTCAGGGAATGCTAGTTACCACACAGTTCAGAATCTTTTGTCTTCCTGTCTGCTATCTAAAAATATAAAGATTAAAATATACAGAATTAAAATTGTACCTATCATTTTGTATGGGTGCAAAAAACAGTCAGTCACATTAATGGAAGAACACAGACTGAGGTGTCTGAGAACAGAATGCTTAGAAGAATATTTGGAACCAAGATAGATGAAGTGACAGAAGGGTGGATAAAACTGCATGACAAGGAGCTCAACACACATTATTTTGAAGATGAAATCATGGAGGATGAGACGGGTAGGGCATGTATCAAGCTCGGGGGAGAAAAGATATGAATGCAAAGTCTGGGTATGAGGTCCGAAGGGAAGACAACATAGATGAGAGGAAAACATTAAAATGTATCTTACAGAAAAAGGGCTGGAGGGTGTGGACTGAATTCGTCAGAAGATAGGGACTGGTGGCAGGATCTTCTGAACACAGTAATGAACCTTAGGGGTTCCATACAAGGTGGGAAATATCTTGACTGCTGAGCATACTATTAGCCTGCCAAGGACTTTGTTCCATGGAGTTAGTTAGTTTGTTAGTTGTCCTGCAAATATTCCAAACATATCTTGCCTCTGAATTAAAAAGCGTGCAATTTGCTCCTTGTTTTCATCTATAGATTTATGAAGTAACGTCTGGTAACAACCTTCAGGACCATGTCCCCAACAGTCTGTGTCAACCCCATTCCTGCAAAAAAAAAAACACCATATTAGTGACTTAATAGAGCCATAAGTATGACTCTTTCATAACAGCATTATGCTTTATGGTATTTTACTCTGTAACTTTCCATCGCAGTATCAGAATCTGTCATTTTTACAACACATGATACCGGATTTTAGCTGTGTTTAATCCATTCGAAACAAACATAAAAATACAAACTCAAGTATAAAATGACAAGTGCCAGATAAAAATGAAAGAAACTGGGACTAAGGTCACTTGTAGCTGGTAACAAACATTTTGAAGACACTTTCTACCTCCATCTTGAGGGCAGACACCTAACTTGAAGATGACTCATCACCCTGATGATTGAGGCAGCAAACTTCTAAGAGGTTACACAGCGCAACAACCCAGAAGACATCCATCTATAGTCTGGCTGTGTTAATGAAATAGTTTGAGAGCCATAGCTCCACCAATCCGTGTGATGTTAGCATGATTCTGTAACTCACTTACCAGGGTCTTATCAGTTTAAACAAGGTGCACTATGAGAAACCTGAAGAAGGCATTTCTAAACCATGGTGAGACTCTGTTCCATAATACCTATAAAAAATAATCTTGGTCCAAGATAAGAACAAATGGGATCATTGATGGTGATGATGCAAGAAAGAGCATTCAATTATTAACAAAATCAAAATTATTATGTTTTATGCAAGAACTGTGCTCACCGGACAAGTATTGCTGCAATGTCCTCTTGACCACTCTCCAGTGCCATCCAAAGAGGACAATTATTATTAGCATCTAGGACAGACATATCAACACCTCTTTTACAAAGGGAATCAACCACATCTGGCAACTGACACTTGATACTAAGTTGGAGAGGAGTCTCATTATCTGTCGTTCTAGAATCAAGAAGACATAAAAGATTCATTAAATTACATGAACACTTCACTGGTGTAAGAAAAAGAAGTAATATCATAAAAACTTGGGGGATCGGTAATAAAGGATCAGATTTAATCACTTAATTAAATTAAATCCGTGGAGTAACAGCTCCAGAGAGCCAAAGCCGACTAGCTTGACTGCTGACCTCACGTTCACATGCCTAAGCAGAGGTGAACGATCATCCAACCAGATATAGGGTGACGTGTGGTCAGCACAACGAACCCCCAGTCATTGCTAGTTTTCCTGACCGGATTACGCTACTCATTGTAGCTCCCCAATTTCCTCACGATGCTGGGTTGGCACCGGCCCCATACACTGGTTGAAAGCTCATGAGAAAATTTCTTCTCCCCCGAGACTCGAACCAGCGCGCATTCCGTATCGCCGGTCCAAAGCATGATGCCTCAGACCGCGTGGCTACGGCGCGGGACTGATTTAATCACTTTAGAAATAAATTATACAATTTACACATGAACTTAAGGTAAAGTGCCAGTTTTACCAAGTTACAAGTAATATGAAATATAGGCCTGAAGTAGAAATCATACTTTCCACTGTACATTTTCTGGGCTAAGTACAGTCAGTTCAAAAACAAAATTTCATAACAATATAATGACTGGTACAATAAGGAGTTATGTTTTCTTCCAATTAATATAAAATAAAATAATACAGAAATAATAACAAGAGAGCAAAAAGCCCAAATTCCTTCAAACTTATCATCCTTGCATCACATCTTATACACAGGCCAACATTAGGAGAATCACACTAATATACTGTTAAACTGTTAACCATGGATGTATGGAACACAATAAAAAGGTTCAATTGTATATTGTCATGGGTCAGGTCAAGTGCTCGTTTGGAAGGAGAGAAGAGAAGTAATGAAGAAAGTCTCAGAATAAATAACTTAACTTCAGGGATTCATACAGCTTGTGAAATGATACGTATGAGAACCATAGTATATGGTGTTTATCTGAAAAATAGCCAACTAAACAAAACAGCACTCAGCAGCAAATAAGGATGCGATATGATTAAGTAAAACGATATAACACGACAGCAGTTCAGGAAAAAAATATCTGTTTCAGTAGAGCAAAACATAATCAAAATTAAAATTCTATCCCCATCATACCATAATAAATCATACACAAATATTCTTATTTTTATAAATACACTTGGAAGAAATCATAAAATGGATTTCCATCAGACTGAACAACAAAATATTTCTCAGTTTCTAACATTTATTTTCTTATTTCCAACTGAAACTCACAGCCCCTAACAAACTTGCAGGGAAATTTAATGAAGATAAAAAGTAAAACATACAGACAGTAAAAATTTTAAAATATTGTCAGTATCCTTACAACCTGAACTTGGATTCCCTGTTAATTTTTTAAACTCTTAAACACTAATAAGGCCAGAAGTCTTAAAGTGCTCAGAATTTGTTTAAGTGTTCTGATCGCATAACATGGTGTAACTACACTCACTGTCACATGACACAGGCTTGGCAATGATTAAAAGCAAAATACTATATAGTAATTTTTACATTTCTTACAACCTTCTCGGGTCACCAGTCCTGTGAAATTGGCGCAAACATCCAACATTACAGAGCTACTCTGTCTCCATCATGAGGAAATGATGACACATCTCAAACATTGGGCTTCTGCTCTATTATGATGCAGTTGGTCACCTGAGAAGACTTTATCACAGTCAGTCACCAAGAAAGCTTTGAGTCATAAATTTTACACTAGTTTATAAAGTAATTCATTAATGAAAATGTTATATTTCGATTTTACACTAAACTTGGTGTGTTTTACTCTGGTTCCTGGCTTCACACAAGATAACACACACAAAACAGCCACACTTACATTGCATTAATATCAGCACCTTGATCTAACAGGAAAATTGCTGTTTCAGAGTCTTCCTTCAGGATAGCCTGATGCAGGAGTGTTAGACCCTTTCCATTCCGGACATTTATATCAGCACCACCTACACCACACATCATTCATTATTCTCACAACAAATTATCATACCGCAACAATATCCTGAAAAGCGTACGGAAATATCTTTTCATCTGTATACATTACTGCACAGTAGATGCAAAATAACTCCAAGCTTAAGCTACATCACTGTAAACAGGAAGAGAAGATTGAAAGGGCAAGGAAGAGCAAGACAGCAAAAAGTCTGTCTGCAAATGTATAGTATAACTGAAAACATTTTGTCCCTTATAATTTCGACACAATCAGTGGCATTTTGATACAAAGACTTCTGAACTGCAATGTATTCTGTAAACAAAAAGGAACTATAAAACACCAGTAATGCAGACATGTGTCATAACCTGCATGTGGTACTTTTACAGCCTGAACAGTAATAATTTCACATCTGATAGTAAACAAAGAAGGACTAGGTTATCTCTCTGTATGTGTTATTGCTCCACTTTACATTGTTTCTGTAACTTTATCTCAGTAATGTTTGGTTCCGTTTATGTATTAACTTGAAAGTGATAAAGAAATCTGCACCACGTGGTTGCTAGCAAATGACTGTCAAATCCAGTAGTAGGGATGGTGTACCTTTTCAGACTCTAGATGGACTTTGTGTCAACAGTAAAATCTCTGAAAACAAATTGGGAAATGTGGAAGAAAGCAATCACAGCGTATTTTAAAGCACTATCCCAACATCTAACAGAAGAAACTTGAGAACAAACACAAGTTGAGAGACAAGGTCATTGTCATCTTTAGTACAGCAGCAATGAACTTTACTAATATCACTCACCTTGAATCAATATGGCTACCATGTACTTCATCCCAGATGTCAGAGCCACCGACAATGGAGTATTTCCAGAGGAATCTGTCAAGTTGAAATTCACAGGAAGTGATTTTGGTTCGTTTGAATCTGAAACAAAATAAGAGCATATGTATTCAAACTCACAAGAATTCTTCATGCCATACGTAACATAAGAAGTTTATTAAAAATAAAAGTTAGAGTGATGTAACAATTTCAAGAATATAATGATGCAACAAAACTGTTTGTGTGTAAGTAATCATCCATCACAATCATTGACAAATGGCTGACATGTTAATGAGACTATTACTGTTATTTATTTCATAATTTTCACCATTTATGGACAAATGTTTCAATGAAATTTCACAGATGATCAGTACACAGAACAAGCAACTGTAGAAGGAAAATAGACACTGCCATCTCCTTCATCTGCCTTGGTACTGTCAAATGCAGGTTCATACAGATTTAATTTACTGTCAACACTTCTACAGAGAGATGTTTTGTCACTATATCCGAAGGAAAGGTCCACCAGTGGCAAGAAAAATTAAGGGTTTAAACATGCTAATGTCTCAACTTCCTTTCCACTTCTTGCAAAGTACGCAATCCTTGAGGGTCAAACATTTAACTCAATGAAGGAACTTTAGTAAACTGCTCAAGATGTTCATGGGTAAGAACCACAGGACTGCTTTTATTAAAAGTGTGCAAGACAACAAGAGAAGTACCTAGGGAAATAATGTGTGTTGTGTAAAACACCGTTCTGTTGTTTAATACAAATAAATGCATGTAACGTTTGGACATCTCTTATTACATAATGCAACTATAAGTAACATGCTTGAATTGTAAAAGGCATCTTTGTTTCTTGTATAACCATTTCACATACTTTCATGATCAACAATGGCTCTCATGGCTCCCTCCTGTTTCTGAACAATGGCAACGTGTAGTGGAGTCTGTCTAAATGTAGTAGCATCACTTCTGCCAATGATATTATAACCATCATCATCAACCTGAAGTGTTTGTAGGTTAGGGTTGGCACCAACTCTAAGTAGCTCTCCAACTAACTTGCGCAAGCCTTTGGAACACGCCACATGAAGTGGACTCTCCCCCTACAGAAGAAAACATTTTTTCTACATGCAGCGATTGAAGTATAGTAGAAACATTAAATTACAATGTCCTGGTTGATTGTTTTCCTCCAATTCAGATCCTGTTTTGCAGTATTGCAGTGGACCCTCCTCTGACTACCTGGCCAAAATATTATGTGTCAAAACTTCATGATACATAGTTTTATTTTCTTATTCACACGTCTCAAAAAAGGAGCATTCCTTGAGCTCTCCGCAACAGCTCAGTTAGTAGCGTACTTGCATTGGTGACCCAAGTTTGATTCCTAGGTATGTTCTTTTTTCCCCCTTAATCACCATGTCTGTAATGGTTTTGGAGGCTGTAACATGTCATATTTTTTTTAAGTCTTTGCATGTATTTATTATCTTTCACCCTTTCTACACATTCAAGAATGAAAGGAGTAAAGTTGATTTCTTCAAATGGAGAGACACACAGCAAAGTGTTATACATTTGTGGTATGCTGCTGAATTATGACAAATTAACAATGTCCACATGATATCTCTCCATGACTATCTAGTCTATGGTGGGATCATGGCTGTGCTGTTAATATTTTGTACAAACAGCAAAGTATAATACTCACCTATGTTCCATTCTTCAAACAAGAGATACGAGTATTTGTTTCTAAATTTAAGGGCCACAATTCTGCTATACTGTTTATGGAGATCACAAAACTAAAACTCAAATCTGAAGGACTGAATACACAATTTTTCTAATACATGGCTCTGCATATGAGATGGTATGATCTACGTCTCTATCACTGGGAGTAGCACAATTTCTTCTCATTATAAGCTATAAATGTAAATTAACCCTCTGACTGATGTATATATCTTAGATAACAAACTCCTGTATGTTGAAAGAAATGTACAAATACTTCTAAATATGTCTTAAGGCAGAATATGTACAATCTGTGACTGGTTATATATGTATCATCAGAAAGAAAATTTCATAGGTTCCAGACCAGGATATTCCAAGTGAAGCTACGCACTTGACCAGGATATCCTGCATGTAAAAGTAATCAAAGTATTACATCAATACTTGGTTTATGAAGAATGGATTAGATACCTTCTTATTCACATGATTAGGGTTTGCTCCATGTAAACATAATAATAGCCCTGCTTCTTCCAAACCTTCTCTGCAGACAAGATGGAGAAGGGAGTCAGCTGACGATGAATAGATCTGGGGAAAAATACAAGACCAATGTTATACCACTACAGCATGGATTTACAACCTGTAACATTCCAGGATTATCAATGTGTGTGAGAGAGAGGGGCACGTGTAGAAGCATGTATTTGGGGCAATATACTGTTTAAGTTAATACTATCATACTGCAACGGAGGATGACAACCAATAAAGTTAGTATGAACAAATGATAATAATGGTTTATCACCTTTGTGTCTGTGTTTCACTAAAACTTCCAGAAAAGTATGTCATTAAACAGCAAAGAAGTTTGATATAGTACCATAAAATAACCAAGTAACCAATTAACTTGGTTTAAAGCTGAATATACAGATAAAGAGATCTGCAAAGCCATGACATTTGATGCAACTTTCTTGAAACGTAAAATATCAAATAAACATAACTGACCTACATTCTACCAGGACACACAATAGGAAGATACAAGACAAATGGAAAGACGGAACAGGGCAAAGGGCATAATCCTTAAAGATAAACACCTGACCTACATGCTGAACAAGATAATCTATCACTACTCATTCTTTCATATTAAAAATTCTATTTAATATAAATTATGCAGCACAACCTTCTTGCATTCTAATATGTTCTCAATTAACATTTTAAACACAACTGTTATAAACAATAACACTCGACACTCACAGGATTGGGGGAAGCTCCTTTCTTCAACAGTTGTGAAGCAAAACTTTCTTCCCCATACTCTGGAGATGTGAGAAAGGCAAACCAAAGGGCTGTGTGACCCTCATGTGTGCGAATATTTAAATCTACAGGCTGTGAGGTGCGGCTCAGGAGAAGAGAGAAAACCACATCATTGCATGCCATCACTGACAGGTGAAGAGGAGTACTGTCAATACAGGACACAAAAACACAATATAATCAGGTTTCTCAAGCAAGGCAAGTACGTTACCTTAACAGTCATTGGCAATATCCCTGAAAAATAAATTAATGTATACCATTCATTATAAGTTTTTTCCATTAAGTGAGCAAAATACTGTTCACAGGGAATATGATACGAGGTTGAAAGAAATTTATTCCGTTAGACTAGAACATTAATAATAAATCTGCGAGACACACGAACCCTTCAAGAGCAGTGATAAGGAGTGCATGCCATATTGAAACCTTAACATACCATCACAAGAAATATCACCTTGGTGCAAGGCTGGAAACCAATAAACAGTTAAATGGGTCCCTTGGCATGTCCTCACGTTGCAAACAGAAAAGAGGAACTCCAGAAATGGAGGGTAGCTATGTATTGAGAATGCAGTCAAGAGAGCTGATGAAGCATAGTGTAGTCTTTGACCTTGGGGGTCAAGCAGAGAACTATCAAATACTCACCACAAAAAAGTAACACATTATACAAGACCTCAGACTCTGGCAGACTTTCATGAACACGACAATAAACGTCCAGGTTCCGTAAAAGGCAGGAAACTTCTTGGTTAGCTGATTACATATCAGTTTCTCAAGGTCTCTGCGCCAAGCACTAGTCATACCAGAATGTGGTAGGCCAAGAAGAATCTGAACCATCAGGATCTTCTATTGTTAAGATATGCATTAAACATCACTATGCTTACAAGCCTTGTTTGTTCTGAAGGTTAGGATCGAGTCCCTTTTCAAGCATCTGTTTCGCAACATCGGCCATGGCGGTAATGATATCGGTCTCCGAGGTATTGGGCGAATAAGTAGCAATCATGTGCAAAGGAGTGTTACCAAGTTCTGGAGTTTCAGTGGCCACAGATGCACCATGGTCTATTAGAAAACTTGCAGAGTACTGGTCGCCTGCAACAATTAACATCAGCGAGTGTTACTAGCACATACCAGCTTTCTATACTGATGTTTCAATATCACAAGAAAAAATGAAGTGGCATCAACTAACTGACATGTTAAGAATGAGGTCTCAACTACAAATCACCATATTTTGCCTTGAATATTTTGATTGTGCAATACTGAAAAAAAAAGCTTCTACCATCTCCTGACAGTTCATATCAAGTGAGAAACAATGTTAACAACTAAAATTAATGTAATATAAAATTGTATCCATTATCTTATTATTAAAATAGTTCCTGGTGACTTGATAACATCTTAAACATGAAACTGGTAGTGTAAGAATCTATAATTACAATAATGCGAAGAATTATCATCATTATTATATAGGTCAACCGCCACAAGTTTGGACATAGTGTTGTTCAGCTTTGAACACACAGCTGCAGCATCTGACATAGATCACAACAAATTTTCAACTTGTGAGCACCCAAGGTCATGTGTTTTCTTAAAGTGATATCGCTCCAGTTATCAATATCATCGTCTTCATTATCATTCTTTCTATTCCCAATATTACAATTAGTTAGCCAGATACAAATATCACAAAACTGAGTATTTCATTTTCATATTATTTTTCTTCAATTCTAAATGTATCTCACTTTTCATACATTCTGTGAAATATTATTAACACATTAAAAATTGTCAACAGTATTTGAAATCAAAACTGATGTCCAATAACTTCCAAGTGGAGTGGAGACCGTCCATTGAAACACAATAAATTGTAATCGAGGTTTGTTTACACTCCTCTTGTGTAGGGTTCCTTCCAAACATACATTCTATTACGTGTGTTTCCTTTATTGATAATTTCATACATACAGGGTTACCACACACATACATCTTTGAAGAAATAACTGATGTGGTTGAATGCTTGATTATCAGTGAATAACCACCAGACTGGAAAGCGAATCCGTGCATTTTCTCTGACCACGCAAGTATCCATGCTTCTTGCAATCTAAATCTTGCTGGGCACATACCTCTTTCAATAGCTCGATGAAGCAGTGTATAACCACGGGTATCTCTAGCATTGAGATCTGCTTGGTGCTCCACCAAAGTAACAGCTATGCCAGTATGCTGAGCACACAATGCTATATCTAGTGCCAATTCCCCACGCCCATCCAGCTGATTCACTAGTGTTGTCAGCTAGACACAGAACAACACAGAATATGTACTATAAGACGGCAAAAAGTGGACAATGTCACAAATGTAATGATAAAATTGTTACTTTATTACAATGTGTACAGCTATATGAAACCATGACATTCATACATACAGATAAATAACAACTTAACCTGTGTCTTAAAATAATAATCTGGCCATAGCTCATAAACAAATAACATGGAAAAAACAAGCAATATAATCATAAAATTGAATAAAATCATGGGTAATGGCGTCGTCATCATCCCAACTCGCGAATTCAAGAAACCGTCAAGGTGGTATTATCGATTGTGGAAAGTTGCACAGTATGTGACTGCAGTCGTAACATATGGCATGGTGTCCATTCAAAATTTTGTAAAAATCCTTAAGGATATTATCTAGTTATTAAATGCGCTCAGACGGATATTACAGGTAAAATTTAACTTTGGTTAGGTTTGTGATGCGCAAGCGCACATTGTCATGTGTAATGATATGACCGGGCATAGTTCGTTACAAAGTATGGTTTTTGAGAAATCACCTATGGCATAAGGGTCTATTTATATAGGAACGTAAAGATAACGACACGAGCCCTTGCCGATTTTTCAGAAAATATTATTCAACGTTTATCAATGGATCTGTTTAGGAAAAATATCGTTGGAGACGTAAGTTGGGCGAGACTCGTTCGTGGAACGGACGAGCTCGGAGTCAATATAAACAGTTCCATTGAAAAACGTTGAATAATATTTTCTGAAAAAATCGGCAAGGGCTCGTGTCGTTATCTTTACGTTCCTATATAAACAGACCCTTAGTCCACACTAAATAACACGAAAATTCATACAGAAATTACCCAGTTATTAAATGAGCACAGCCGAAGCTTACGTTATATTGGGGTGGGTTCGGTTAGGTTTGTGATGTGTATGCGCAGAGGAACATGATTAATGGCGTCCTCGTCGTCTCACCGAAGGCGATCTTCGGTTATTCTAAATCGTAAGAATAACCCAAGTCAACTTACAGATCTGTGGAAACGTTAAGAAAGATTTGTATGCCCTAATTTTCAAGAGTAACACTGCAGTGCATAATATCGAAACATTATTTTAATGTCCGTCTCCTACGTCTGTTATTCTTAACAGTTACATTTATTCAAAATATATAAACGAATTTAATTAAAATTAATGATAACCGCTAAGGTTTTCAATACATGATTAAATTTCCAATCTCATATTCTACTAGAAATATCTCTTTCCGATCATAAAACGCAAGGGACAACGTAAAATTATAAAAGTAGTCACCACACACTCCCCCCTCCCCTTGTTTGTTTATTACACCCGTATCTCTTCCTGGACCTTATCTTGTGGTCAGCAGCTACTACGCATGCGGTCATATTAATAAACAGTTTCCTTTTTAAAACAGTTTTATATGCTCCTGCTCATTTGAAAACAAAGCTGCTCGCCATTTTCATAGTTATTTTTTATCAATTCAGAAAACAATAACGCGCATTAATCTAAATAAATACCAGTTTCTTTGCTGTCTACTGGTGTTATCACGTTGTCATTTCTCATTTTAAGGTAAATAACCTCATATTTTAAGTCAACGCCATTAAAGAAACGAACAATATAATTCGATGCAAAAAAATTCTACCCTCCCACAAATCACCACAGCACAGAATAACTAAATCACACTGCCAGTCGACATTTGCAGGCCTCATGCAACGCAATATGGCTGCTCTGTTTTAATTAAACTATTCAGGAATGTTACGTTAACTCACTATTTTCAGCAACAGAATAAAAAACTTCCACTGTTACAAATTAACTTCTTCATAGCATTTAGTACTAATACGTGTAATTTATATTAATCGGGGATTGTGTAATTGGAAATCAGTAGGGCTATCGAAAAAAAAGTGTCTTTGCCATTCCAAGGCAACTCTTTTATCTTAAAAAGTAACACCATAACCCATATCGAACCAATCATAAACAGATATTTTCCCCCGTTATGTCCGTGCTCCCATTATACATATTTTTAAATCGTGGTATGGGTACAATAGCAGTGAGTGGTAACTACGGCAGGTAGGAGGGGGAGTAGGCCTCCGGTGAAAGAAATTTTAGCACTCAGCCAATGCAAGCAATGACTGACAAATGCACTGGCACTTCGCTCGATAAAATTACCGAACGTCGCGACCAAGTGGTTAGCATTCTTCTTAGTATTTAAAATGTACCATCTTCGAAACTCAAACCGAAGACCGGCTACCTTGACTGAGGTTCTTCCTGGTTTATTTTCACCACTTTACATGTTCGCAAACTTTGTATCAAAACAAGACCTCGAGCTCTCCTTGCCATGTCCTTCCCAACTCATAATTCATAAACATCTTAACATTCGATACTGCACCGTCCGAGCTAAAAACGCGTAGTTAAAAACAAACATCGATGGAAGTATCAAAGTTCCTCGAATCTTATTTTATTCACCACAGCAAGACAGAAATTAACTTGCATGACAGTCTTAAAATAATAAATTCATTATACTGTGGTCTAATTCAAATACAAATTAAAACAAACTATTACGTCAACAGAGTAACTGGATGTGTCTGAAAACACAGTGTCAATGAGCTAAACACACGAACCGGTTTAAAACTGACCTAAAGCAGAGTTTTTAATATCTCGATTCGGTGTAGCCACTTAAATTATGTCAAGAAACAGACGGAAAACCTTGAACTAATTGGAAGAAACAAACGCATAGCAATATTTTATGAGAAGTTTCCAAAGCTTCTACTGTTCGGCTGCCTGAAGACGCTGTAATGCTAAAAAGAAGTGATTATGTCAGTCACTATATGCAGGACGTGGGCTTACAAAAGTATCCCATTATCAGATGTGGTAACTTTGGTAGCAACGGAAACAAACAAGGGCTGACGGTAAGGAATTACATCCAGTTTAAAAGGCAGATACAGCATGGACTAATTCATGTTGAAACAGCCACAACGTTCATCAGACGGACTGTCGTAACAACGCTCTGAACGTAAACGGTTCTAAACTCGATCGGGTTATCAGCTGTCCCAACTGATAATTTCTTAACTCCTGAAGAGTTCATGCTGAACAACATGGTCAGACAGAGGCAGATATACTTCTTCCTGCACTTCAGAAGAATGCTAGGGTAGTATCTTCAAACAGGCCAAATCCTCACCTAATCACCGTCTATAATCATCCTCCACGGTCAACTTGCCGCGACATCTGCAGTTTGAACACGGTGTTCAAACAACCCTACAAAATGAACAGTAAATGTTCAATAACGGCCCGAGATACCGTTACAACTTCTATGGCGGGCTCTGGTGAACTCATAAAGAACGTTCGAGTTCCATAAAAGACATTCTATTAAACTCCCATCTACTCCAAGATCTTCCTAGTACTCTTTCTCATGCGTACCCCATGCCCAACCAATCCATGATATTTGGTGAAAGGTACAAATTATGGAGCTCCTCATTACACAATTTTCTCCAGATTCTCGTAACAGATCAATCCTTTGTCTCGGCATCCTATTCAAAAAACATTTAATCTGTGTTCTTATGCAAGGATGAGAGACCAAAATTTCACATTCATTCTAAAGAATGTGTAAAATTGGAGGATGTTTTGAAATTTTTCAACTTTTCATTGGTGTAACTAACATTTAATAATTTAAAATGAAGATATTTGAAACTCTCTGACCTAACCATTCTGTATCACGAAAAAAAGAGTCTCGTGTTGCACAATTTCCGCCACGAAGATTGTGATTTCCGGTGTGTTCCACGTTAAAGTTTGTGTGCAACCAAAGGGGGGCATCGCGGATATCCTACGGGACTACAGTCTACTGAACTCTGCTCTACTTTCTAGTATCGCTCCGCTCCTAGCAGCTGAGTCCATCGAGAGACAGAAAAACGAGACATTACTTAAGCTTCTCTCGTGTTACGGTCAATGAGCGAATCAACATCGGGAGGGACACCAGTGGAGGTTCTACGAGGTTGCCCAAATTTAAAAATAAACTATATAAAATAATATCGATTAAATCAGGCAGTCAAAACTTTTTCTTCTCTCCAGCCGAAAAACTTCTAACACTATTTTTGAAAACTAGCAGCCAATTTTCGTTATATTTAATAATATAAACTGCACTGAAATGTGCACAAGTTAATTCCAGCTACATATTATTATAAACTTTCTCCTGCAACAGCTTGTGTCTCTCACACTTTTTACCTGGATATATTGATTTTACGGCAGGGTTTTAAAGGCACATGTGCGTAAAACATCAAACAAGATAAGAATCACGATTTTCTAAATCCCAATAAACGAGCTTCTAGTAACTAGTTACAAATTAACAAATAATTTCGTGTGTCTGATTACATGCTGTCTCGGGCCGGATTTGGCCCGCGGGCCGCCAACCCATCCAGGATTAAATCAACGAGAATGAGATTTCTGGGGCATGTAGCATGACAGACAAGAAATACATGCGATATTTTTGTCGGAAAACCTCAAAAGAGCTCTTGGAAGACCTAGAAGTTGATGGGATATTAAAATAGACCTTCAAGAAACACGGCATGAGGTGTGGACCGTGGGACCAATGGCGGGGGATATGAACAACTAAACTACATTATTATTCTCCTTTCCCCATGGAGCTGGCTACAGAATAACACACCGAATTCCCCATAAATTAGAAGCGGTAGGAGAATTCGTTTGGTAAAATAAGGAAAACTGTAAAAAAGGGAAAAGCTGTTGGAAATCACGTGTTTCTAATCTTAAATACTGGATTTCTTTACTTAGGGCGAGCCATTACGGTGCTACACTCTTTACATCGTCAGTAGTAAAGGTTAAGTCGATTCTGCTATTCTGACATGACATGACACGTGTTGACTGAGTCACGTCGTAGTGATAATAAAACTACTTACTAAGACACTAGTGCGTGAAATAAACTCTAGAACCCTCACGAGTTGAAACATTTCATGTTTCGGGTTGTTTACATAAAACCACAATTCGTGCGGGTGAGAAATATGAAATAAATATATTTTAATCTCCAAAATCAATTCATAAGTGTTCGTAACACAAACCGAGTGTGAAGTAGGTTGTGTTCCGTCTGTCAGCAGCACTACGCGCTGTTCTGGCCGCCAGCTCAGTTGCCATTAGCACGTAGTGCAGGAAGGATGGCGCGCCGAATGTAACTAACTAACAAACAGTCTCGTCAGTGGCAATAGCGAACACTATGGTGACGGTGTGCCGTGTATCGAATGTGAATACGTAACAGTTCCGACAAGTGCTGTGGAATAACGCTACAACGAAGATATCTTCCCAAAACATTCGTCTGCAATTTAATTTTCCTGTTTCTTAGCGAATAATTAGCTAAAAATGACTCCAAAAAAGGAATATGCACACCTCATAATATCCACAGCTGTACTGCTTCATCTAGGTATGTATCACAGTTACATTCAATTTTTCCCAGAAACGTGATCGTGGTTAATTCATGGTTCACAGGTTTACAACTGCTCGGATTATATAGCACAGAATGAAATATAATTAATTAATAATGAATTGGAAAAGATATGAAAGGAAATGAATGTGGTTTAATTTTTAAGTAGTGTACAGGTATTTACTTTGAAGGACTGGAGAAAACCACGAAACAACTTAGCCTGTCTCCAGACCCAGATCCAAACCCGAAACCTCCTTAATACGATGAAGCCTTAACCCCTCATCCCAAAAAGTTCATTCGTTTATCTGTGCTCTATTCAACGACGCACTCAGCAGCTCGGTCTGCTGAATGTCCTACAAACAATGAATTAAAATGTACGTTTCGAGGTTTTCACAGCGGTGAGTCTGAATATGGCTGTCTTCTGGGTTTTTGGTAGATTGGTCTAATTTAAGGTACTATATCAGAAATCTGGAGGGACTGAGGAAAACCACGAAAGACCTCACGATAGCCGATCCCTGGGCCTAGATGTGAACCCGAGAACTCCCGAATACGAAGCACCGGACATCGGTAGCTGTTATGAAATGCTCCTTACGCTGGCTAAGGAACACAAATTGGATAGATATTTGTGTCATCAAAAACTTTGTTTCTATACGGACAAATTAAGAGGTTGCCTAATACTTGAGGAGACACTGAATAAAAAAAAATGCACCAAACTTGACATACGAGTACTTATTCCCTGAGACCAGGAAAATAATATAATAAGGTCAAAATTCCGTAGTTCGAGTTCCGGTGAAAATTACGCAAGAAACAATTACAAACTACGTCCCAAATGAAATGTACAAACATAAACCTGTTCCATATCACCGACAAGAGTCCTGTATTGTAACGAAACTGGAATTGTGCTATCAGGAATCCTTTTATAGGCAGGAGCATGATGAATCAGTCTGCGAAATAGCCACTATCCTCCCACCCCTTCCGCCAATCCTGTTACGACGACCAAATGAACGCACATAATGACTTCGACTGTGAAGTTAATCAGATATGCAATGAATACAAATACAATTGTCTTCTATCATTCAATTCTTAACAACAGGATGTTTAATGCCAGTGTAGCTATTCTTATATTACATATCTCAAGGACACTCCCCCCTTTCCAGAGGCTGCACAACTTGTCTGGTAAATAGGGAGGAAACTGTGACCCTGACAATGACCGACGTTTCAGACGACTCTATACTGACACGTCGGTCAAAGGTTCAACATTCCAAATAAAGTTGACAAGCTGTACACCTGCAATTGGTCAGATGGTTGGCCGGGTAGCCTACTTTTCCTAATATAAGGGACAGATCTGGCTAGAGAACATAATCTCGTTGAGAAGCTGATGCTGTGAGTTTGCCAGTATCGAACGAGTAGGTCAATCGATCAACACTTCTCTCCCGCGTCATTGGTACCTTAAACACATACTTAATCCATTAAAGCCCGCTTACTTCAACAATTATCAACTCTTCACTTTGCATTTATGTGTTTAATACGATTCTCAGTGTGAACAGACATCGTTAACTTGAAGTACATCAATCAGTTGATCTTCGAAACGGAAACGCGTTGCGGTGTTATTTATTTTAATCTGTTTCAAGTGGCGACGCTGCTGAACTGGAATAATACAATTCTGGATAGGGTCAACAAACCGTCTGGTACCATGACGAAATTTCTCGCTTAGTTGAACACTTAAGGCATCAACTGCACCGTGAAGTAAGATGCAAACATTTTATGGAAGACTGCCATCGCGAGCCTGTTACAGTGATTAGGTACAGAGTTATGTCTGTCTTACACAGTTTCAACATCTCGTTGCATAAAATGTAATGCCCCCAAACAACAGCCACATATTAATATACCAGAATGTCATTATCATTAGTCGGTAGGAACAGTAAATAAGGAAGGATACACTGTCCAAACCATAAACATGATTTCGCTGCGATAATACCACATAGTTCGTTGTCTTAGGCAATGTTTTTGGTTTACGTACAAAATACGTTTTCCACATGTTCCCAAATTACTGATGTAGGAGAAACGCAAAGTTTGGTCCTGACTACTTCGAAATAGGACTTCTATGAAAAAAGTACAATATTTTTAGTAATATAAAATGTAATTGTTTATTTTAACCGTCTAATCACAATAAAATATTTTATTGTGATTAGACGGTTAAAATAAACAATTATAATCATCACAATATGACGCAACAATATCACCTCTAAAATGTAATATCACACGCTGTGCACAAAATTCCCACTGGTTAATGCATAAACACGAGGAATAAATATATTGCACGTATTACAGTTTTGATATATAGTGTTTTAATTTTTAACACATAAAACGATAAAAACTCGCAAATACAGAACTTTTGTGTGAGAACCACTAGTGAGGGAAATATATAAATAATCCGTACTTCTGAGTCACACTCATTCATCTACCTAGGTCATTTATTTTAATTCTCACAATACAGACATAATACCGGTACGAATACATGCAGAAAAAAAAATTCTATACCGGTTTTTAAATGGAGATACAATTATTTAATTCTAAGTTCTGTGGCACAAATTCGGCCTTGGCCATGTAGAAAACTTAGTCAATTTCACAATCACCACGCAATTATTCAAAAGGGAACTTGAAAAGAATAGTGAAACTGCATTACCATCAGCATTAAAGCCTTTACTTTGTAAGGTCACGTTTGCTGGTATGGCAGAACTCGCATGGCAAGTCGCCAGTAAGTAGGCTTCTAGAACATTCAACACGCGAAGCTGCTAAAGAAATCGATTGAAAGTGGGGCATTTAATATCACGGACTTAGCTTCCTACGGAAAGAACGTCCAGAGAAAGGTTGCAGTACTAAAATATATACGTCATACGACACGCGGCAATGAATTTCAACTGTTTAATTTAAGACAATCGCTTTTTACGATTTAATTCTGCTTCATAAATTATATTTCATCGCCCTCATGGTGGACGCTGTAAGCATCTCTCAAACGCCGGACAAGTTCTACGAGACCACTCGCTGCAACATCCCAAAAGACACTCATCTTCATAATTCTGTTTAATAATCTGTCACGACCCATGTGATACAAAGAACGTCGTTTATGAAGTTCACTGATAAATCTGAAAGCAAATGTTCCAGCCTGGAACTACATGACTCACCGCCAAGAGCTACAAGGTTTTACTCGTGAGTCAAGTACGTAGTATCGCTTCGTAAAAGCAATATAATCAAGTTATGTGGTAAGAAAGTGGTTTGGGGGCTTAGACTTAAAGGCATAGAGTATCTTGCTGTTCACACAAGGTTCCGAAGAAGCTGCCGAGGTGCCACATTGAGGCCTAAATAAGGAATGGGGGACTTCAAATGATGTTACCGTTATCCCAGACAAAAAAGTAATTCTGCGTTGGTACTCATACTGTACTAATATTAATTACTACTATAACTTTCGCGAAGGGAGGCTCCACGGGGTGATTCGCGACACGCCCACCCGCAATGAATGACATCCCGCACGAAAGTGCATGTTTTAAGCAAATTAGGACGCACGCCTGGCAGAAAACACAACGCTTTACAGACAGACAATATACAAGCGCCTTGTTTTACATTTCCATATATTCAATATGTTTGTTATGTTTTCGATATTAACAGCGAATATTTATTTAGACCTGCTAAATTGGACATCTGACTTAAAAATTTAAATTGTAGTGCCCATTTCAATCAGAACTTAGGGATTCCCTCATTCACTGAAAATGTCAGAAGAAATAAAACCACAACAATGCATCTTACAGCTCCGATGCGTTCGTCTGTGATGAAATTCGACATTGAAATTGTTAAGCAGATCAGGTTTTGAGCCAAGCCAATCAATCGTACTGTAGTACTTAAATATCTGGTACGGGTCTCTGGCCACAAATCGTTAATCAGCCAATAAGTGACTCTCCATCCCACATCACGTAGGTCATTGTTGCACTATAGCAACCAAGTTCCAACAATGAGTCCTCCAGTCCCACTGCTGCATAACAATGCCCCCTGATTATACAAGCTACCTATCCCCGTACGAAAAACTCGACAGACAGACAGACAATGGACAGGCCCATAAATTTTTCTTCGATAAAGCGTTAAGAACACACCACGAAAGCCAACATCAAACACAAATTCTGATAACAATTTCCCTTGGAGCATTCTGTATGAAATTTTTTGCTGAAATAATCGACAAAATGGCTGCTAACAAAATAACTGCACTACAAATTTAAAATTGTATCATAATGAATGCACATTACGTACTGAGACTCAAAGCTGTTTCTCTCTTACGAGTACAACAAATGTACAATTGAGATATCAGTGAGACTTCCATTTAATGACGTCATTAAATACTTCCATCAGCGGTTAGACTGACGTTATTTCACAGTGATATCACAATCAAAAGGTCAACTATCGGAAGTGCACGAATAACGAGCTAATTATTTCCGACGTGCTGGGCGTAAATTGACAAAATTACTGATTTACAAGAGACTAAATTCTCTTACTTATTTGGCTTCACAAATGTGCACTGTTAGTGTTCACACGCCGAAATATACCTCTCTGGGCAGAGCAGCATCTAAATCACGTCCTCATAACATCCAACTGTTTTATGTTGTTAGTCGAAATATCTCCGATAATGCAAATATGCTGATACGCCCTTCTGGCATGATAACCTCGATACACTACCGAGAAAAAGTCAATTTCCTGTAACACGGGAACAAATATTCCGACTAATTTCTGCGGTTTTTAACCTCAAAATTTATCATCAAATACCTCAGCGTGTTGATAAAGTAACTGCAATGAAATTGTAGTGTACGGGTGATTTATTAATACAGAATCAGAACGAGAGTTACGCACCTATACTGAATATTCTCTAGTCAACAAGGTAAGAATTAACATACTGGAAGAGCCACCTCATTTTCCAACAGTCCTTAGTACACACAGAGTTTTACAAGCCTTACGTT